TTTTTTCTAATTATAAAATATAATTTCCATACGTTATTCTTGTACTGTACATGATGTCGGCAGTTTCTATGATTTTTCTATTTTATTATTTGCATAAATTAAGGAATTTGAAAGGTTTTTAAACAAATAAACATTGTAAATTATTTTAATAACTGTTTAAAATTATTTTATTTATTTTATATAAATAAATAAGACTTTATTGATTTCTATAGCCTATATTTCATTGTAACAATGTTTATAACTAATTAGTATTATAATTAATGAAGTAATTAAGAAAAATGCCTTTTAATTCTTTTGTTTACAATACTTTAAAAGTAATTTAATGTAATTATTCTTTAGTTATTATGATAAATATTCAAGTATTTTTTTTACTGTATTTTGTGTAGCGTTATAAACACGCATTTATTTAATTTACAATTTGAAAATTAGGCAGCAAAATTTTAAGTTTACATACGAACTGAATAAGAATTTAAAAAAGTACTAAGAGATCTTTAAAGAAATTAAGTAAAAAATGTAGAAAATGCGAAGAAAAATAAAAAATAAGAACTTTTCTTTACTTATTAGAAGAAATTTATAAATATATTTTATAATATAAACATTTACACGTATTGTAGAATCATAATCCTGTTTTTTTGTTAACTCAGAATTTAAAAATAACTCACAGAATTAACTAAACATGTAAAAAAATTTACCTACAAATGTTAATAAAACTAAGCAAAAATCTAAAAAAATTATATGAGAAAAATTAAAAAAAAAGCTAGGAAAATGACGTAAGAAACGATATACATAAATAACGACGATGAAAAGAAACATTGTAAATTTGATTACGACACCAAATTATACAAAATAATCCAACGTTGATGCTGTACTTCACCATCATTTCAGGTAAAATTAGATGAGACAACCAGAAACTTCTTTAATATATTTGCAAAGGAAAACAGGTTAATGTTTTATATGCATTAATGACATTTTATTGACATAAAATTTAGATATTTTCAAGAATTATTAATGAACGAATGTCATTAGTAAATATTTCTTCAATCATAGAAATTAAGTGTGTATAGTCACATTACCTTACGTAATTTTTTTCTATATTAACTGTTCTTTTGATTAATTACATGTCTAGTTACTTTGACGGATTTTTTTTCTTTTAAGGAAAATAAAAAAAGAAGAAAATACATTTTCTTTGAACAAATCTAGAAGGAAAAAAAATACAAAAAAAGAAGAAAAAAGAATTATTACTTGTTTGTTTGAATTTTATTGACATTAATTTACTACAAGTAATGTTAGTATTTAAATACATATAATCATTTAAAATGTTTATAAATTTTAAATTAACCAATAAAATTTATTAGTCTTTTAACAGTTATAATATAATATTTAAATTAAACAAGTTGATTGGTTGAATTATTTAAGTAAATAAATTTAGAAACAGCTATTAGCTACTGTTTTACGACGAAATTTAAAAATTAACCAATAAGCGCCTTCTAAATTTTGAAATTGATCATTTCAGGATGATTGGTTAATTGGTTTTTTAACGTTATTTTAAAATTAACCAATAAGCGCTTCTTTGAATTTTGAAATTGATTATTTCGAAATGATTGGCTAATTTCAAAACTTAAATTTTTAAATAAACCAATAAATGTGTATAAGTTTTTAAATGTTATTATTTTAACAAAAATTATTGTCCTTATAAAGATATATATTTTATTATTTTAATGTTTATATAATTGTCAATTTATTCATTAACTAAGAAAATATTAAAGATATTTTTCTTCTTTTCTCCCACAAATTACACATTATGTAACAAGTTATGTATACAAAACAGGCGATTATTTAACGGTTAAAAATTTGAAAAATTAATAAGATAATGTGATTTATTATACAAATTAAGAAACTGGGAAGTGTTTAATGTCTGCTTAAACTTTTAAATTCAAATATCTGGATAACATTTCCGGAATAAATAGCACGTTTGAAGCAAGTTAAGCTATGCAGATTTTTTTTTTATATATTAATGCAATGAATACGTTGAATCAAACGATAAATTTCAACGTTGATTTAATAAAAATTAAGAACATTTTCCTTATAAAGTCTTTAAGTAAGGCAAGAAAATGCATTCAATGCAATGAAAACGTTGGATAAATTAACAAGTTTTATCGTTAATTGGCATAAAGAAACGTTGATATACAGTGGTACGCTATCTTATAGGCAAAAAAGGGCAATTGCTTGGGGCCTCAACCAAGAGGGTGCCCAAACCAATCTTTTATAAAATAAAAATATTTTCCCACAAAAATCCTCCCAAAGAAAAATCTTTGTTTGAAATCAACACTACATAGGGCCTCCTAATTCAAATTTGCCTGGGCCCCATAAAGCTATAACGCGCCGCTGTTGATGTAATTAAAATTGATGAAAATTTAGTTAATAATAGCTCTAAAATATATAAAATAACATATATTTTAATTTGATGAGCCTTCGATTAAGAAACTTAATGCTTCTATCACACATTCTGATATTTCGTCGGTGAACTTATCTAATTTTTAAAATATATAAAATAACATTTGTTTTAAATAACTTGTTTATTAAACAGTATGTATTTATGAATGTAATACATTTTAATTGTTTATATCTGTTTAAATATATTCAACTATTAACTAACTGTATACCAACTTAATCTCTTATTGTATGTGACAGATATTTTTGTGCATAAGAGCATGCTCACATGTAAAGGTGACTTTGTACATTTGGTATTCAGCAATTGGCTAATATGGAACATGTAGAGCTGCCTATTGGTCCTTTTTGATTCGGCACAATATACCAACAAGGAGCGGAAAATGGCAAATACCAAATATTAGTCGCAATTAGTCTAAATCAGTGGTTCCCAAACTTTTTCAATTCGAGGTGCCCTTGCTAAATCCAGGTTTTCCCAAGGCATCTTATATCAAATCCTAACAAGTACAATTTTCAAAATAGTGAAATAGCCAATAATTTTTTTAATTAAAGAGTTTGGACGTTAAGTAAAAATAAATAAAACATGTATTTAAGATAACAAAAAATGTAATTGAACAAATTCAAATAATTATAATTAGTGGGATGGATGAGCCTGTTGATCACCACACATTTTCTCAAATTTTGGAGTCAAATTGGATACAACCACCCTCATTTCCTCCTCGCATAGGATTTTTGTGAGATAGTTTTTATCATAGCGACAGCCGAAAACTCAACTTTGCACAAATAAAAAATTGCAAATTGAATTAAAATTCTCTGAGCTTTGCCACATCTTTTACCAATATCCAAAATTCAGTTAATCCCATGTTGATAAATTTTGTTTCAATGTATTGTTGCAAGACAACTCAATACATTTTCTTCTGCAGNAAGTTCAACACCAAATATGTCAAGTCCCATTCCTCATCACCTGGGTGAAACTCTTGATAAGGATGGCTGAATGGTGAGGAATGGGGCTTGCTAAATCCAGGACAGACATGATAAAAAAGCCCTCTTAGTGCCCAAAGGGCAAAAATGTTAAAAAGATTCTTCTAAGAATAATAAATAATATTTAATATATTGAACACACTGGAAGTATTGAGATACTTCAATAGTAATTTAGACATAATTAATCAAAATTTTTGCCTAAGACTTCACATATAGAAATACTAGACTAAGACTGAATATTGACAAGCTTGGTCCTTAGTCCAGTATTCAGAATATAGTACTTAGAATACTAGATCTTATAATATGAGTACATAATGTAAAACATAAAAGTCCATGCTTGTCTAGGGCCTTGTAAAACTTAAACTATTAATAGTGTAGTGTAGTCTATTTTAGATTTTTAATTAAAACTTACCAATTCTGGGCCAAGACGAGCATCGCTCTCTAGTGACGTCGGTACATATATTGAAAGGATTCGGACCCAAATGAGTTTTTATCCACTTCATCAGTTTTCTGTAATCAAATGTTCTGGACTCCTGAAAGTATAGGATCAATTTGTAGATTCAAATCTGATAATTTATTTACAGGATTCCTACTCAAATTTTTGTTTTGAATTCCCTGATTTTCCCCTGACCAACTTTATCCAAATTTCCTGACCCTCACAATTCTTACAGTGTGGAATATCAACATAATAAAACAGCATTTTATTTACTGTGAATATTGAGTACATCTATCCCTCTTTTTGCATAATTGATATGTTTCAAAGACTGCCATATTAAACTACAGTACATACATCCTATAGAAAAACGTTTGATAGAATCCACAACTTCAATGTAATGAAAAAATAAGCAATTTACTTTCAGATATGAAGTCTTCATAAGTTCTGGTATATTTTCTTATTAAAGATTGCAGCATTACTTCCTGCCATCTGCAGATGGCTATGCTTAATCAGCCATATTCAGCAAACAAAATCAACAAGGTAGCTAAGGAGACAAATTCCCTGACTTTCCATCACTTTTTCCAAACACTAATGAAAATCCCTGACTTTCCAGGTGTGTAGGAACTCTGTATTTAGCAACTTTATTAGTTTAATATTAGACATATTATAATTTAAATATATGAACTGGGTTGCCCAGAAAGAAATATCTGTTTGCCCATAAATACAAAAGAAATCTACTTATGTAATAAGGAAAATAAGTATTTCAAATATCAATTTAGTCATTTTTCAAAATAATCACTGCCATTGTTTAAGCAATTGTTATATCTTGTGAAATAATTTGGCAAAACTGGAGAAGTACGAAAGAAGCAGTGCACTCCCACAATATACAGTACAGTAATACCTCGACTTACGCGAACCCGGAGTTACGCGATTTTCAAATCTCGTCGATTCGTCTTTTGTTTGAGTGCCACGCAACTCTTGGTTACTCACTCCCCCCACACTATTGTTCAGCTTATGTGTTCGGACGTGTCACAGGGAATCGACACATAGCTACAATTTATTTTGTGTTATTTATTTCTGTGTTTGTTATATCTACGGAGACTCGAGAGACTCTATGTGGTGATTTCTTGTAACCATGAACGTCTTTTGATTCAAAAGATGAGATAAGATTAACGAGAACATTTATTAGCTTACATACATCCGATTTGGATTTTAAACAAATTGCGAAATTATACCCCGACTTACACGGTTATCGCTCGGTCCCACCTATCGCGTAAGTTCGGGGTATTACTGTATTTACTGAACCAAAAACATTTTCAACTTACTTCCATAGGCCTTTGGTTGAAACATCAAACTTAAATGAAAAATGTGTTAAATGCAAATATCTTGTGACCAGTTTTTTGAATGCCATCATCATAGACTTCTGCCACCAAGCCTTTAACCGCCGTGTGACTTTGCCTTTTGACTTGTCAGCACTGACGAAGTACTTTCTATCCAGAAATTCCTTTAATTTCCCCAACAGGTGATAATTACTGGATACCAAGTCTGGAGTGTAAGCAGGATGGTGCAAAATGTCCCATCTGATGTGTTGAAGAGGGTGTGTGGTCTCCAAGCCGTGTGAAGACATCATTGTCCTGGAGGAGCACAATGCCTTTAGACAACATGCAATGATGAATGTTCATTAAACAAACAATTTTGGCATTTGGAGACCAAATAACAATGTATGCTTTGTATGCCACAGGATTATTAATTTTTGTCACCATTTTAATGACCTACAACTCTACAATGCACCCAATCAACATATAAGTTATTTGAGCAAAGCAAACATGTGAATAAGGATACTTGACTTATGTCTGTTGCTTTCAAGTTATCTATGAGCAAACAGGTATTTCTTTCTGAAAAACCCTTGTATAAAGAAACAGTTAATCTTATTTCTTATAAAAGATTGAAGAAAAAACTTACTATTAAAGCCTATTTTATATCTTAATTTTGTAGCAATTCTAATTTTAATTATGCTAAATTTGAAATAAAGTAAAATTTTCCTATTCAGGATTTTCTAGGACTGAATTTACATATTAAAATCATAAAAGACCACATAAATAAATTAGATAAACAATATAAAATCATTTAATATAACAGCAGTTTGGCCCATAAATTTTTGGAATGCTGATAAATCATAAAGAAACCATCTAAACACAATTGGAATTTATAAAATCCCAATCAGTAATATATAGATGTAATGGCTTGAAACAGCCAAAACAGGATTAAGGAGCTCAGTAGACACTGTCATTAGAAACAAGACATCCCTAGCATCCGTGCCGAATAATAATCTCATTTTATCCTGGAATGAAATAAAGAAAATCATGTTGGTTTTAGAGAAAAGGTTAAAATGTAGGACAGTTAACAAGTATGACTCCGATAATTTAGCAACATCTGGAAGTGGCTTACGGCCTTATGTCTATGCATTAAATGATTTTACATTTCTATGTATTTGTGAGAATCCAACCTTAACTCATTTTAATTTAACTCCGACGAACCAATTTTAATCGACAACGACGTCATACATGCTCACCAATTGTTGTCCTCAGCTACCTGAGAAAATATCCACTTACCCAACGATGAAAACGACGCACTCCCGCAATCTTTTGACCTTTAGGTCGAACGATTACAGACGGATATCGAAATTGATGGCCGAAATAGGCAGTCATCGCCTGTTCCTCATGGATTAACGTCTACAACACCTTTTCTGTGCCTGTGCAAAAATTTTCTGGATCTAATTTCACCCTCAACTAGCGACACCAGTGAAGCGAACTTCTCCTGACTATCATGCTCTAGGCTTTCCCAATCCAGACCTTTCTGCAAACCTTCAAGAACGATAACAGACTGCAAACTGACAACAAGTTGACTAAAATTGCATCAAATCTATCATCACCTCGTGTACATCCTCTACTTCAGGTATTTATCAACCTGCGAACAACTGTAAACTCTCTCTCTCGGAATGCCACAAAATTAGATTACTTATTTACTTATTTTAATCCCACTCGGAATACTCTTGTATTGTAATATAATGTTTTATATCTTTACAAATAAACGTTGTTCCATTGATCTGGTCTTTGTGTGAGTCACTTCCGGTGGGCTGTCTCTCATGCCATCCCGAATCTGTTCACTCAACACGTGATCGTTCGTGCAACCTACTTTTAAGTCAAACTGCCACAGCATCTGTGTCAATCCTGACTAGAACTATCGGAGAGTCGGCACCTATTAGCGCCGACTCTCCGGTCACATATTTAACTTTATGTAGTATTTACTCTGTTATCTACATGATTAGCCAGATTGAATCATGAAAAATTCCAATTCAAATTTGATTCAGACCATCTCAATTTTTCATTGTAATACAAAACCAGAGCATTATTTTCCATCTTTCAATCTTGCCAGCTAATCTGCCATGGATCAGCCTTACATTACTTCAAAAAAAAAAAAACTGTGATCTGCAGCAATTTCTAGATATTATTATTTTTATATAAATCAATATTAATGAATTAGATCAATTTAAAACTTTTGTCCCAATCACTTATAATTATTAAGAATGAATGTTTTAGAGACATACATATAAGCATAAAGCCAGAGAATGGAACAGAGAAATATAATTAATTAAAACACTTATTTGAGAGATAATATACCATAGACTGGGGTTACTTTGGTATGGTTTTTGCACTTTTTGCACCTCTGATCAAATGACTGTTACGAATCGTTTTGCATTGTGTTAGGTAAATATGATGTTATTTTCTTGAAATTCACCAATATTTTCACTCCCAAGTCAAGAGTTTAATAATACTTCCACCTTTTTCTTGTCCTAAAGTTACCCTTTAAATAGGGGTAACTTTAGGACAAAGTGTTTTCTTTTTTTTTAACAGTATAAAAGTAGGATTGTCGCAACGTTAGACTGTCACCAATCTTTATTTATTTATCAAAAATAGTCCCCTGCATTAAGTGGGGTCTTACTGTTATATATATATCAATCATATTAGCGGTGAAAAAAATTAAACCAAATTGTACATAATGTTCAGGATAGATAATTTACTAGTTCTTTTACACAATAAATATCCTGGCAACTTATCTTTTTGGGTGGCTTGCACTACATCTACTGTATAGTCCAGGATGTTGTCCTTATTTGGCCATTTCCAAATACAACCACTTTTCTCCATAGCCCTTATTGAATATCCAAATTTTTTCTGGTTTAATATCAGTCCAGGATAAAGAACACCTTCATAATTTATTAAAACAAACATTCCCTCAGATAAATATTTTAACTTGTATTGTAATCTATCATCGATTGATTGTAGAGGAGTGAAAGGATGCTCATCTTCCATTTCCCCAGGTACCCATGTCATACTGTCGTCAGACTCCGCATAAGGAACCATTTCCAAGTTCATGTCATCACTTGAAGTGTCCTCATCTGATGTATCCTTCTTCCTTAAAGCTCACTAGGTGACTTTGTGACAGTCCCAAAGTTGCCCCTTATATGTTAGATTTTTCAATAAAGTATTTTTTATAACCAAATAATTATTTCAAAATATTATCAAACACTTGATTATAATAGATAATAGTTATTTATTTCAAAATATTTATCTTTGTTTTCAATAGAAACTGTAGAGTTTTCTCAACAAATGATAGTTTCTGGAGCATGTGTTGATCAAACAAAATGTAACCTAACTAAAAATGGCTGCCCAAAAGGCAGGAAAACAAACAGAGCGTCTGGGCCTTGACATTATGTGGCAGCACAGTAGGAGTATTAGAACCAATGACAACAGTTTGTATACCATTGAAATGGCAGTGGCATTTAATTTCATTCAAAACAGTGATTGTCCTAAAGTTACCCTACTTGTCACAAAGTAACCCCAGTCTACAATACCTTAATGATCTCATATGCATATCACATAAAATAGCCATACTAACTCAGCTTAATACATAATTAATTTCACATATAAATCAGTTTTGTATGAAGATGAATATGGTCTGATAAGAGTCAATATCTTAGAAGATGACAAAAAGATTCAGAAGTCTTTGATGTATGTACAGCTACAGTTAAATTATAATACAAAGTATTTAATGCTTTCTCTAAATGTTGGATTATTATTATATACATTGGAATTTAACAGAATGTGGTATTACTTGCAAATTGGTAACAGGTTAGGGACTCCAATTTTAGCAATACACACAATATACTTTTTGTGGAACTTTAATCAAATCGGTTTGATTTTGTACCTTTTATCTTGAACTTCAACAATTTTTATATGTGTTATCAAACAATCCTGTGTACTGCCATTGCACTGCATTTAACGTAACTATTTAATGCTAAAGTTTTCTGTGACAGTCCATTGCTGATACATCTCTTTCCATCATGCTACTTCAATAGAATACAGGATAAAATTTTGGATCCCAAACCCATATTAGATCGAGTTCAAATTGTACTTACAGTTTCTGTAAGAAAAATTTATTGTATTGTTTTATGCCTTTTGTCCTGAAAATTAATTTAGGAAATTTGTGTTCATGTTCAGTGGCATGATAAACCCTTATATAAATAACTACCATAAGCTAGTAGATACATTTAATAAGAAAAATTTGATTTAAACTTCATCGGAAAGAATATGACTTTAACTGAAGAAAAACTAATGATAGGACCAATCTTCGATATTCAACTAGCACATGATTTGAAATTAAATCCAGAACCACATGCCAAGTCAAGTGCCCAATCTAATGTGTTATATTCTCTGGAGTCTATGCTTACCTCTCAGGAACTTCATTGAGAATTACACAGTTTAAAAGTATCCAAGCAGCCTGCAATCTCAGTCAAGTTGATTAGATTTTTAGTTTGAGATAATACACAATCATATTATCAAGTTGATTCATCGTCAATTGATCTTTTTATGGAAAGCATCCAACTAGCACAACCTAGAAATGGAGAATGATGTGCTGACGCCATACTGTCTCAGGAAATCAAGATGCTCCAGATCAAATTTGAAGCGAGATCTTTGAGATGGTAAGCCGATAACTTTTTGTATGGCAAATACAGTAACTGAATAAATTTTATATGCAATTTTTCTATGAATATATTCGGTATAGAAAAATTTATTTAAGTTTGATTTTAAAACAGAAATGTTTTCTAGTAGTAAATAATTAAATGGAAATACTTACCATTTTAAAGCTCGTTTCTTTTTTGTTTTCTTCCATCCGTACTATATCGTGTAATGTCGCTACAGTTCTAAAAATGATTTTAGAATGAAAATATTTTAATTAATATATAAAAAAATATCTATTTTGATAGACAAATAACTCCTCACCGATTTTTATCTGATGAGCCTTCGATTAAGAAACTTAATGCTTCTATCACACATTCTGATATTTCGTCGGTGAACTTATCTAATTTTTAAAATATATAAAATAACATTTGTTTTAAATAACTTGTTTATTAAACAGTATGTATTTATGAATGTAATACATTTTAATTGTTTATATCTGTTTAAATATATTCAACTATTAACTAACTGTATACCAACTTAATCTCTTATTGTATGTGACAGATATTTTTGTGCATAAGAGCATGCTCACATGTAAAGGTGACTTTGTACATTTGGTATTCAGCAATTGGCTAATATGGAACATGTAGAGCTGCCTATTGGTCCTTTTTGATTCGGCACAATATACCAACAAGGAGCGGAAAATGGCAAATACCAAATATTAGTCGCAATTAGTCTAAATCAGTGGTTCCCAAACTTTTTCAATTCGAGGTGCCCTTGCTAAATCCAGGTTTTCCCAAGGCATCTTATATCAAATCCTAACAAGTACAATTTTCAAAATAGTGAAATAGCCAATAATTTTTTTAATTAAAGAGTTTGGACGTTAAGTAAAAATAAATAAAACATGTATTTAAGATAACAAAAAATGTAATTGAACAAATTCAAATAATTATAATTAGTGGGATGGATGAGCCTGTTGATCACCACACATTTTCTCAAATTTTGGAGTCAAATTGGATACAACCACCCTCATTTCCTCCTCGCATAGGATTTTTGTGAGATAGTTTTTATCATAGCGACAGCCGAAAACTCAACTTTGCACCAATAAGAAATTGCAAATTGAATTAAAATTCTCTGAGCTTTGCCACATCTTTTACCAATATCCAAAATTCAGTTAATCCCATGTTGATAAATTTTGTTTCAATGTATTGTTGCAAGACAACTCAATACATTTTCTTCTGCAGCAATAAATTCAGATGGAGCACTGACATTAAATGGATCTTGAATCNGCATCCGAAAACTGTCGATCCCATTCGATACGTTCGTCAACTTTTCTTAGATGAACCAAAAAATAATTTTCAAAATATCTAAATATAACAAAAATTGATTTTATTAATAAATAAGAAAATAGAAAATATTTGATAATTATTAATATAATATATTTCTCAGAAAATAAAAATTAACATACTACACCCAATCCTTGATTTGCACAATATTCAAAGTGAACAAATTTGGTTTAACAAGGTTGAAAAATTACGGCCGAGGCAGTCTACTGCTCTGGGGACCCGGGATTTAATCCGGGTGGAAAACTTGAGGAATTTTTGTGGGGCTTTTTATGAATCTTGAATATGCTGGGCCCCGTCTCTCCGCTACTTGACTGTCTCCGTTGTGGGCAAGGCCAAAGCCATAATGGGTATGAAAAATAAGCCCTCTTAGTGCCCAAAGGCAGAAAGAATTAAAAAAACAAAAAGGATGGATAAAATATGACAAAACTTTGTTTTACATGCTAGGGTTTCAGTTTAACATTGTATTTTAAACTGCATGACTGTCGTATTGCAATAGAATTCAGGTGGATCAGGAAAGACAGACAATATCCATGCACTTGCTGGGTGTGGAAGAGATGATCTTCACATCTCTCAGCCATGGGAGAGGAAATCCTTGCACTAGCTGGATATAGAGAACTGACCCTTGCACTTGCCAACACAGAGAAGTGATCCTTGCACATCCGACATGGAGAGGCATGTTTTGTTTGTTTTTGGCACCTATTTTCTGTTAGGTGCCCGCAATGCTTTTTAAAAGTTTTTTTTTACTTTTGCTCCCTAAATTCCATTAGGCAAATTCAATCACATTAGGGAGCATGGACATTGTCATTTTGGTTCCACTGTATCCCTAAAACAAATTCTGAAACAATGCAGACTGCCATTTTCCATTAATTGCAATGAGGAATCCAAAAATTTAATTAAAAAGGAAATGTAAAAGTTTTGTCAAAATCAACCATTCAAATTTTGAGAACTAACACAATTCTGTAAGTCACGTAGAAGAGGTTTCACTAATACTCCACCCGAAACGTTCTTCAGTATTCTATTTTAAAATTAATGTTTAGGTCTATGCTTATTCTTATAACGTCGCAATCATGTCACTACTATTTTCTACTTGCCCTTTGGAGACACAGGATTCCCCATTTAATATTATATCTCAAATTCATATCATATTTATTAGCATTAAACTTAGCTCCATGTTGGGAAACTTACGAAAACATTATATAAAAATAAAACACTGTAATACACTTGTTGTCTAGTTTAAAATTTATTGATGAGCTATATAATGGCTTCTTTATTTCATGACCTGTGTTAAACATTGTGATCAAATGTTGCTCAACTTTCTCAGCAACATTTAAAACTGCATATGGTACCATCTGTTATGATATTTTATTTTCAAAAAATATATATTTTTAACTATTATAAAATGGCAAAAAGCTTAATTTTGAAAGTAGGAATGGGTTTTATAAAAAAATTGTAAATGCTAATAATGAGTCATTAATTTGACTCTACTGGATATACACACACGACCCCCATCATCTCCCCACCCCTTCGATCTTTAATCACCTGAATTTAATAGCATCAATCCCTCTAATACACAAACCTTCCTGCAAAATTTCAGAAATTTTTAACAAAAAGCACAGGAGTTATTAAGCTTCAGACAGAGTGAATCTACATCGACTAGCTCCAGTGCCTGGATGGCCAAGCGGTCAAAGTGGCAGCCTACCACTCTGGGGGACTCTAGATCAAATCTGGATGGGTTGAAAAATCGCCAGGAATTTTTCAGGGGCAGTCCATCCAGATATGTCGGCCCCTGCCCTTCACTACCCAGAGACCCATTGTGGGCTGGCGAATCCATAATTGGCTTATTATAAGAAGCCCTTTAATGCCAATCTTGGATATGAAACTTTCAAAATCTTATAAGTTAAGCAATAAATTTTCAGAGACCACTTTTTTGGATACATTTTAAAAAGTGGTCTAGGAGCTGTTTGTGGTTAAGGCTACAAGCTTGCCAAGTTTTGTTCAAATCTCTGATTTAAATGTCTGGCTCTCTCCTTGTAACTGACAGTTCAACATGTTACTTTTACTTTCCAGACACCAAACTGATAAGGCTACCAGCACCTGCATTAAAAGTAAAACTGGTGGTGATAAACAATTTAAAGTGGCAAAAAAAATTTAAACTGACAAAATTTTGGCAATATTTTTACATTTTCCAAAGCAACCTGTGCATACTATTACAAATAAATTGATATATTGAGACTGGTCTTATGTCTGATGAAGTGAAGTTTAAAAAGTTTGTTGTTTCACACAATTGGCAACCAACTCGGTATGCCAATTACATTAACAAAGTTCAGGTAGTTCAATATGCTGATCTAGGTTCGTCGAGAAGACACCTTACAACGAATCAACAAGTTGTTGGCTAGTAGTAATCTTCCAGCAGTTGAAGAACAAACTGCGAGATGAATCCTGACTTAACTCGAACTCCGGTGCACACCAGAAGACTTATGGCAAACTTAGTGTATATCCTGACATTCCGAAGCAAACTTATGTAGACCCGAAGTTTCTAACCAAACTTACTTCCAACATGAAGTCCGAAGCCAAACTTAAAACTCCCGCTTCGACATTGATTCTTTTATAGCTATTGATAGTGAGTTGGGCGACCAATCAGTGCTTACTGAGCTGTAGCACTATGCAAATAACGTTTGGTGTGATTCCCTGCCGACCAATCAGCAGTTATCGGCTGTAACACTATGCAAATTTGTAGAGTGGTGAGATCCTCGACCAATGAGTGATTAGCTGCTCTGTTGGAGGTCCGCTGGTGGTATGATGATCTGATGACCAATCAGTGGCCCAAATTCAAAACTCTTTAACCAACTTTCCGCAATGACGACTGTTATCAGTTTAGAAATAGAAAGGCGGGAATCGTGTTCTTACATGATTCTACCCTGACAGATGATGGTGCATTAAGTCTAGAAATAAAGAGGCCATTATAGAGCTTATCAATACAAAAGAAAAAAAAAGATTTGATAATGGATTTTATTAGGATAAGACTGTCAATATTTTTGGTGAACTAATTAGAAAAGGTCTGTAATTGAAAAGTTAGTAATGGAAGTGGCATAAGATTTTCAATTAAAACAGAAAGGAAATTCACATCTTAATCAACAAGTGAAAATTATGTAGAAAATTTAATTTTTGTTTATTTTATAATGAATGAGAACGGCTCATAAAAATATGGAATCATGGAACTTATCATTCTTTTTCCCAAGGAAAAAGGTCAAATTTGTTCTTGATGGTAAACATTAACAAGGAGTTCTATATTGACACTCTTGGTTGCCATCATGATGCAGTAAGACAAAAATGGCCTCACCTCATAGTAGAAAGCCTTGGTCTCTCTAGCGGCAATGCTGGTGCATCCATCATGCTCTCCTAGTTAATGAATAGCTGGCAAAACACCAGACGCCTGTACTTCTATAGCTTTTTTAGTCACTAGACCTTATTTTTTCAGACTTTTGTGTCTTCACCAAATTGAAGCTCTACTGAACAGTCACAGATTCAAATCAAAAGAAGTAAAAAGTGCTGCAACCATTAGTCAAGGAGACAGTGCAGGATGAGCCATAAGACTAGTGTCATTGCAAGACCAGAAGACATCTTGCAGTCTTGCAAGGTGGGTTTCAAAATTACTTGTGTTGCATTACACTTTAAATAAACTTGATAAAACTAAACTGTATCATCACGTACTTCAAACCAATTACGGTGTGCAGATAAAAAAAACAAACATTTTTGAACTCCTTCCATGTTCTTTATCAGGTTTTGTAACGATTCCCCAATGGTTTGAAGAAAGTTTGTTTTTGTTTTCTTTATCTGCACACCGTAATCGGTTCAAAGTATGTGATTAACTATATCCCGGTATGGTGAGTGGTTGTTTAAACTATAGTGCATCAAAAGCTATGCATAAATGCCAAAACTACGCATAGATTTACTAGTTACGAACATTGGAAGGGCAAAAAATATCGTTGACAAACTAAACAGAAGGAGCAAACACTTCTAATGTAATGCAATTACAAGTGCAATGAGACACACTGGATGTTTTTCTGTATATTTTATTTAAAATTTAATTATATATTTCACATCATTATTAAAAAATACTAATAAATTTGCATGGATTTAATCTGTAAAGTGAAAAATTATATAATTGTAATATATAATTTTTGCTTTAATTGATTAATCAATATGAAACCAATAAAGAATAAAATACAAACACAATACAACAAATTAAATTGTAAATTATTGCATTACAAATAAGATATTACATTGAGACTATAAAACTCTTACTTACAGCCAAGCCACTTCTTTATGAAGACGAAACTTATTACAGGCAATATGTTCCCATACGGAATAGCTAAAATTTGTATGCAAAAATATTAAGCATTTGCCTATTTGTTTAAAAGGTAACAAATATCTTTTACAAATTATTTTTGAAATTTCGTATTTTAAATGCTTTTACCTCAAAATATTGTTCTTGGAACCGGATTTCGTCTTTGCATACGAAACGATTCTCTTTAAGTACTGGAAATAATTACATATGGAATTAAAAATATGAAGGGAGATTAATATAGAATTTTAATGCAACTATAAATTACTGTACTTCTTCAATTAAACCCCAGTGGGTTTATTTTTAAAATGTACTGTACCTATAAATAAATTCCAGGACTTCAAATAAACCCTATCCCTTGGGTTTATTTGAAGTCCTGGAATTTATTACCTTGCAACAGGAAATGTGTGTGTAAATATAAAAGAAATACCTTAATTACTTGTATATTTTCTGAACTATCAAAACCATTTATTGACTATTTATGGGTTATGGCTACAACATTTTAACATAGTTAACATAATTCAGCATCTTCCAATTTGGTTATTACATTATCACTTGCGTCTGCTTCAATGCTGTAGGAATCGAGATCTTGATTCTCATCTACAAAAGAGATGGCAAGTTTGAACCAGAGTTTTTCAAATTACCCTTCGGTTGATAAGCTCTTGACTTATGAACTCTAAGGTAACTTTCCTAAGCCCTGTCCAATATTCAAAAATACTTCTGTGAGCCTTGAAATAGGAAGTGTTGTCCAATGCTAGACAATTTGACCTATACAATGCAGTACTTCAACATGTTTTTCATGCTTTTTAACTCAGGATTTAATTTTAACAGCATGTTTATTCCTATTCAAAGACTAGAATTTAATTGAGGAAATATGGTAATTTTTCTCATTTCTGTACATTGAAAATATTCTTTCATTTAAAATTCTGAATTGTTTAGAAACCTTACAAATTCTCATTTACATTTTTACGACAATAGTTAGCCTCTGCCAAACACATCAGTTCTTATCAAATCGCGACTCAAATCCTGCACTACTTGATTTGAAATCAAGAAGTGTGGGGATCAGATAGTACACCTGTTGAAGATGGAACGGAATATTGCTTCTTTATATAATTTACTCATATTTTATCAAATTTAGAATAAATATATATGAAGAAGAGTTGAAAAATTACCATATAGGGAGCAGACAATTTGGCAAGAGAAATCAAACTATTTTACCAGCAGTAAGTGCTTAATGAACAACTGTTTTCAATCCTTGTAGCATCATCTTCAGGTTACACAAAGATCAAACTTACAATAACAGAATTCAGAATGGAATCTTTTCTTAAATCCTATGAGGATTGAGAGTAGGGGAACCTGGGGCAGAACGGGAAAGACGATTTACATGTGAAAGAAAGGTGAGGGAATTGGTTCGCTCCCTGTCCTACACTCAGACTGTGACAACACGTCAGTGTGAATACTTGGTTACTGAGATCCACTTTGTCGTTGACCAATAAAACCTTGCGTCGTGATTTTTTGATGAGATTACAAGTATATCAACATTAAAACAATGAAAGTATATGGTATATTTTATAATTTAGCCAAATTTATATAGTCTAGTTAAAGATTTGTTTGTTTGTATTTTTAGAATAAAATAATGCAAAAAGTAATCATAAACTTTTTTCTCTACTTGATTTTTAGAAGCATGTGCTTTGGGGCTCAACAGGTAGGGCACAATGGGATGATTTCCTGTAAAGGAAAAGGAAAAAATAACAGTCTAGTAAAAAAGAACAAGAGGACAATTACCCGGAAAGAGAGAATGATACGACTTGCCTTTACTGCACTGAGGCTTACTGGCAGTCAATTGAGGGTTGGTGTTCATGTGTTGCATGCAAAAAATGGGCTCATATGTCTTGTGCAGGTTTTGACAGAGACAATGACAATTCCATGCTGGTTTGCGAGTTTTGTAAGCAACAAGACTAATATTTTTTTTCTAATATTTTAGCACTAATCTCATACCCCATTCTGCCCTGAGTGCAGAGCTGAACGGGATGTGGGCAAGCTTTTTTTTAATGATTTATTTTTCATACAAAATTGATTTTTTTAAAATCTAATTTAAATAACTATGTGCCTAATATAATAAATAAAGGACATAATGTAATATTTTTGTTATTTTTCTTTTATTGTTGACATAATTTTAACTTCTTCGTTAGCTACCCCATTCTACCCTAGGTTCCCCTACTTATTCATTAAACTCTTATTGCTGGTAAAAAGGTTTGATTTCTATTGGCAAAATTCAAAATAAGATGTAAAGAGGTAATCTGCCGAGGGAAAGGATGTGCTTCCCAGAAGGACTTTCAACAAGAAGCTGGTCCTATTTAGTTGTTAGACTTGTGAAGAAAATCCAGAAAACCCCGTGCGGCCAGTCGATTTTTAGACGCAAACCTGCAACCAATGTTTGTGGTTTTATCCACTTGGCTACCAGTAGGCTAAATGATTTTTCAGTTTGCATCAGGGCTGTGGAGTCGCGTAAAAATCTACCGACTCCAACTCCGACTNGCAAATACCAAATATTAGTCGCAATTAGTCTAAATCAGTGGTTCCCAAACTTTTTCAATTCGAGGTGCCCTTGCTAAATCCAGGTTTTCCCAAGGCATCTTATATCAAATCCTAACAAGTACAATTTTCAAAATAGTGAAATAGCCAATAATTTTTTTAATTAAAGAGTTTGGACGTTAAGTAAAAATAAATAAAACATGTATTTAAGATAACAAAAAATGTAATTGAACAAATTCAAATAATTATAATTAGTGGGATGGATGAGCCTGTTGATCACCACACATTTTCTCAAATTTTGGAGTCAAATTGGATACAACCACCCTCATTTCCTCCTCGCATAGGATTTTTGTGAGATAGTTTTTATCATAGCGACAGCCGAAAACTCAACTTTGCACAAATAAAAAATTGCAAATTGAATTAAAATTCTCTGAGCTTTGCCACATCTTTTACCAATATCCAAAATTCAGTTAATCCCATGTTGATAAATTTTGTTTCAATGTATTGTTGCAAGACAACTCAATACATTTTCTTCTGCAGTAATAAATTCAGATGGAGCACTGACATTAAATGGATCTTGAATCTATGCAAATTTATCGATATTATAATTTTGAAAATATTTCTCAAATCAGGTGGATAGGCTGTGATAAATGTTCTTTAAAAATAGATTTCATACCTCGAGAGAAATCAACTTCATCAGAGGTTAAAAACTGTTGCAACAAGAAGAACCATTCTTTTCCTCCATCTTCATTTATTCTTCTTTTCCATAGTTTTAATTTTTTTTTTGTAAAAACTAAAATTTTCTAAATCGACTTTAAAAGGTGCATGTTGTTTCCCTGCAGGGAGAGATTCAGAGCATTCAGCTTTTCAAAAAGATCACATAAGTATGCTAGTTTACCAAAAAGTCTTCATTCACAAAATTTTCAGCATAGTTGTGATCTTCTTTAGAAAAATATAAATTTCCTGTTGCAGTTCAAACATATGGGACAAAACATTACCACGAGAGAGCCATCGCAAAGTGCTGTATTACAACAAAGATGTGTGCTCTGATCCCATAGCACATAGTTTTTTTAAAAATCTTGCCTTCACTGACCGAGTATTTATAAAGTTTAACACATTCACTACATATTCTAAGGAGTGGATCAATGTAGGACTCAGATATTTTGATGCAAGTGCTTCCCTGTGAATAACGCAATGGGTCCACAGTGCGTCAGGGGCTTTGCTTCAAATAAATGCTTGCAATCCTCCATAACACCCAGGCATAGAATGAGCACAATCAGTACAGATACCAATGCATTTGGTCCACTCTAAATTATTTTCAGATATAAAAATATCAAGGATCTCAAACAAATCTTGAGCTTTAGCACCACAAGTGATACTTTTACAAAAGAGAAGATCTTCTATAATGTTATTACTATTTGTAAACAGTACATAGCAAATCAAGTGAGCACCATTATTATTTTCTATCTTCATCCAGCAGCAATCTAAATTCCTTTCCTTTTATTTTTTCAATTAACTGATCGTTAAAGTCCTCCTCTATGTGCTAATAGCTATGTGCTTCGACTAATAGCGTTATTGGACAAAGGCACTTTTGAAAGTTGCTTTCCAGCAGACTCACCAATTATCATGTTCACCATATCTACTGCAGCCAGTAGAATGAGTCTTTCTGCAATGGTATGAGGCTTCTTACATTTTGCATTTCTAAGTGCCAACTTACAAGATGGCACATAGAATTGCAAGATGAATTGCTACAAAATGCTAGCAAAACATTGCTTGGTATTAACGCCTGCTTATAAAAACTATCTTTTTCTTGATTTAACTCTTAACTTCCTAGTAAAGTAGTCATGAGATTTAATAACCATGCTACGTTGATTAGTTTTAAAATGGCATTTCAACTTACTTGGTAGCATGCACTCTGGTGCCAAAACTTTCATAACTGGCCTCTCTTCTCCATTGACTTCTGTCGACGTAAAACCAAAGTCCAAATAACTGTCACCATATTTTCGAAACTTATGCTTCTTCACACTCTTGCCACTAGTTGACGACGTGATCTTTTTACTTTCATTCTCAAAATACTTATTACTGTTTAGTAAAACTGATCCATTTTTAAAAATACATATGAGAAGAAATACTTCAAAAACTTCACTTGACTTAATTACAATATTCAGTTGATACAATCTCCAAAAATTAATTGAACACTGAAATTGCATGAAACTGACAGCTATTTATATACAAACACAAAATACCAAGAAAGTTTGAAAAACTACTAAAACAATTAAGAAACCATTTGGTAAACATTTGTAGAGGCTTCTGCAAACAGTTATTACTCAGTTAATCATTTCACTAGGTCTGCTAAATGTCACATCTTATCACACTGAATTGAAAATAGAAGTAAAATTATGAAAGTTTTATAATATTTCATGGCACCCATGAAAAAGCTGTGGCTCCCTACGGCACTGTGGCACACACTTTGGGAACCACTGGTCTAAATCATGCACACTACTTGTTACTGGCCAAATATTTGCTTGGCATTTGGTAAATACTGAATGTGTAGTGCCACCTTAAGAGCAATTTTTGTTCATTTTTAAAGCACGATCTTATATGTAAAACAGCATGCTTGTGTTTATGCAGAAATACATTGAGCAAAAAAATAATGCTCTTTTTGTAGAATTCGAAAATATAATCAAAGTTTAAGTTAAAATTTAAAACTCTGAGAATTAAATGCTCTAATTCTTGCTTCTCAAGTTGTCAGAAATGTGTCGTCAACTTTAAGATCTAATATAATTAAAAGCACCTTTAACGATTATGTAATATCAATAGATCACATCTACTGCCTTAAGGCAAAGGGCTCTATCTCCAAAAAATTGAAAATTAAGCTGCACATGTGGCATCCTATCTAGTAGTACCATTTATCGATACTGCCCAATATCTTGTGAGAAAAATGTTCTTTATTATTACAGAATGTTTTTCATGCTAGATATTAGGTGGTATCAATACATGAAATATTCCACTTGCACAACTCAATTTTCAGATTTTGGAGATAGAATCTTGGGACAATAGACATCTGATGTAGAAATTTCTCAGTACTTTGAAATAACTAAATGAAGACATCTTGAATGTCACTGGTATCATATGGTTTAATTAAACTTTCATGTAATACAGGGTCTCCAACCATTTTTTGAGAAGAGTCACGTGAGCTGTAAAAGACAAGCCCGAGGGCCGCACATGAAAAATAGAACCAAACATTAAGATCCTTTTTTTATTTCTGAATAACAACAGACATAAATCGATGCAAAATCCGTAACTTTTTCAAAAGAATTTCATCAAAACTGGGATAAATTTTGTGGCACCCAGCACTAAAATCTTTAGAAACATTTGTTTTTATGGCAATGCTCACTATTTTGATTTTATATATTTTATTTTTGAAAAGGTTTGTTCACAAAGCTCATATCTCCTAAGCAAACTTCTTAATACTTAAAATTCTCTTCTGGCAGTTTTGTAAAAAATTTAAGAGAAATTCCTTTCTTTTTACAAACTTGTTTACAGCATGGTCCGTTAATTCTACTTGACCTTTTCAAAGTTTATATGTTCTGAACTAGTGAAAATGTTGATAAAACTGCCAGAGAAAACTAACTACAAGGTTGGAGATGCTGGATCTATTAAATTAATATATAGGAGGAAGTTATTGATTATACAAACAAAGACAAATCATTGCATGGTTTAAAGATCTTACTGCTTATTTATTTTTATTTTTCTTTATCCAGCCAATAATAAGAGGAAATTACAAAGATTTTGTGAAGTTTTTATTTGCATACTTTACGTATTAAATTAAAATACAAATAGTTGATCTTAAGATTTTCAATTTCTCTACGAATTTAAATATTTAATTCAAAACATTCAGCTACATTTAATAACAATTTTCAGATCTTACCTTCATCCGTCAATAATCCTATTATTTCTTCCAGATTTGTTCGAACAAACATTAATTGCTTTTGTTCCATGTGATCCTATTTGTAAAACAAAAAACGAAAATCAAGTAATTAATTCAAGATATTATATATGAAATAAAATAAAAATACTTTTTTATGCATTACCTGTCTCTTGTGGCGAGATTGTTTGAATTGCGACGGCCATTTATATTGTTCGTAAAAGAATAATTATAGAACATTTGAACTACTTTGAATTATGAATTTTAAGAAAAAAAAGATATTAAACTGACATTTGATAATTAAACTTAGATGATGATTAGTCCTTTCTGAACATTGCTGTTCTTATCAGACCTTTAAGCAAGGTAGAGTTGTGCTAGTACTCTGGTCAGAGATGTAATAAGGAAGGATGGATGCTGTTGTTAATTTTATTGTGATAATCCTGGAGGTCCCAAGTACACGTACATATAAAAGGAGTAAGGTCAGTATTAATAATGGCAGCAGCAAGGCCAGCTATAAGACAACTACTTCATCTGGACAGTAGAGAGAGAAAATGACTATATAGATTGAAGAAAGATCAAGAAGAAAAAGACAGATAAACTTGAAAAAAAATTGACCAATTTCTTGTGTTTACTAATGTGTTTTACATGATTAAAAATGGATTATAAAATGATGCTGTTGTAGCATCACACATTGTGATGCTGCCATTGTTAGTAAAATAAGTACTGTATAGCAGGTAGTTAAATGTTGTAGTAACAAAGTTGGAGAGTGAAATAAATCATTTTTTGATACTAGGTATGACTTAGATATGTCAAAATAAATGCAAAAAGCAAATTTCTGATCAAATAAAATAAAAAGAAACACTAAGCCAGTCAAAACTTTTTGCTCAGATATGATACTTGACTATACTCAGACATTGTCATGCTGTTTTATGACATGATAACACAACTATATTACCAATCTTTGCATATAAGCATTGTGTCACTTTCACTGGGAAATCTTTGCCAGTGTTTACAATTTTGATATGCTACCTAAAGCAACCCTGATTGTAACTTCCTCTGTAACTATTATATTTTTGGATGTCTAAAACAGTTCCTAAAAGATAAATGTATTACATCGGACAGTGTTAGCTTTACAGAAATCACTTGTCCAAGCAATAATGTTATCGTACACTTATGCAGCAATAGGATAAATATCTGAATGCCGAGACAAGTATGTAGCAACTATAGCAAAGTCCTTGACTCTTTCATTGTAACACTTGTGATAAAGCTCAGCTCAGTAAGCCAATAGTGAAATATAGCATCAACCTGCAAATGACAATTTGCAGGTTGATGCTATATTTCACTATTGGCTTACTGAGCTGGAATTTGTAATAACCTGCAAATTGTCATTTGCAGGTTATTACAAATTCAAACGTTAATTTGTTTGTAATAATTGCAGTGCTTTGTAGAACTGAGTGAACATTACTATAGAAACTACGGTGGCATTCTTCAAACATATTACGCTATACAGCAAGTCCATAACAATCAAGTCTAATCTGCAACAGAGTCTGTTGTGGCTTATGGTTATTGGACATAAAATGACATTATGGCCTATACTATCCACAATAAGCTATGGGATTGGAACTGTGTTTGAACCCACATTTCCACTATCTATATTTAAAACTGTAGAGATATATGTGAGGGCCAGGATTTAAGAAGGCTGAGATTAGAATAGTTATATTCATTTTGTTCATTCATTTACCGTTTTGTTTCAAAACCAAACCAATTTTTTTAAAGTTAGGGTTAACACAGAAAGGGAAAAACAACCGACAAATTTTCTCATAAAAACTCCGTTCCCACGAAAATACTTCCCTGTAGAAGATGAGTTAATTGTTGTGTCATAATTTTGTCACTTCGCCCACCATTGGTCAACGAAGATCATCACCTGTGATGTACAGTACATGGGGAAATATTGAAAACATAGCCCCCATATAAAAGGAAAGTGCGATGATGACACAAGGGGGAAAAAGTTATTTTCTATACGGTGTGTTTGTGGATTACCTGCCTCTCGTCACCACCGTCTTCAATAGACTTTACAATTCTGACTTTGATTACGACTTGAACTTGGATTTTGAACTTTAGACTATATTACGAATCCAGGAGAACAAGAACCTACCTCCACGTTATAACTAGAGGTATTTATTCTACTTGCGATGATATGTAAGCTCTCTCTCAAATATTCCAAACTTGCGGTTAGGGTCGCGACTAATTTATATTTTGCCCACTACTTTATGGACTACAGATTGAACCCCTGAGAGGGATTTGTATCCTCGACTCTTTCAATAATTAACTATGTAAAAATGTATAATAATAAACGGGTATTTTGTTAACGAACTTGGATTGGTGTGCGTTTCTTCCGACATTATCCACTCCCTATTGAACCCAAAGTCATGCACGCGATCAGTCGTAATAATTCCTCCTCCAGTCAACCGCGTATCTATCCGCGATGGAAATGATAGATTGGTGTCAGATCCTGACGTGAAATAAGGATTTATCAATCCTTAACGTTAAAACCCTTCCGCTCAAAAGAGCCCATCCTTTAGACAAGTGAGACCGGACCTCAAGGTCTTGAATTGAGTAAGAGGTAGGAGAGTCAAGAACTCGTAAACATCCTACCCCTGATTAGTCTCACATATATGTAATTACTTTTAATTTGTAAAAATAAAATTAAATAGTCATAAACATCATTTGTAATCAATTATTAAAAATTAATAATTAAAAATTTAAAAACTAATTTTTTAAAGGATATTCTTCCTGCATAACAATATTAGAACATAAACTGGTTTTATGTATGTTTTGAAGATACAACATCAAGACAAAACGAAGAGAACATACTTCCACTTTAGATTTTATTTCCTCTGAAATTAATTATTGTAAAGTGTTTAAAATGTAAAAACAACAAATAAAAACCGACTTTGAGATAACTTGCCAACATCCTTTTCCGTCACATCCGAAAACTGTCGATCCCATTCGATACGTTCGTCAACTTTTCTTAGATGAACCAAAAAATAATTTTCAAAATATTTGCATTGATACATGTTATAGATAGTCTAATAATGATTTAGATTGTCCATAGGAATTTCATATTTAACGATAAGAGAAAAGATGGGAAGATAGATAAACAGACAGAGATAAATGAGTATCTGCACAAATAGAAAAGCAAGAGAAAATATACTTGTCACAGTAAATTACATCAGCATAACTATTGTAACTATTTGAAATTAATATATTATATTTAATATATGATTTCATTTATGCTTTTAGTATGCAATGGCCAGCAAACTATTCCTCTTTTATGTGTTTATTTTATATTTGTATTCGCAAAAATTTCTGTAAATAAATCGTAGACATTTATTTATTAATCAAACTAACTTAAGACCTATATACTTAATGTTTCGTAAGATTATTATACTCTTATTTCATACTAATCTACAGTGATATTTTCCTTATCTTAATGTAAATTGTTCATTTTGTTTATATTTTGAAATCATAATGCCACTGATCTTTTATTATTGTACAATTTAGCCTACTTGTTATCTAATACTGTTTATCTGATATTCAGACCTACCTGTTACTTGTAACAATTTCAATTTTTCAAAATACTATTTTGTTTGTAGACCACAATAATTCCTTTAAAATTCTAAATAATTTATATGATTAGATTGTAGTGATTTATTATTGAATATTTTAAATAGATTCGAAATTATGTGGTTCTATTAAATATCTAATGGATATGTGAAGTTGCAATTAGCTAATTTAACTTAATTGTGCAAGCATAGACGTGTAGACTTAATTTAAATGAATGTGATATTATTATGTCATATTAAGTCATTGATTCTTGTGAATAGATTATTCTTTTCCAGAGAAATATGTAAAATTTTCAGCGAAATTGTTATGTACTGTACGGTACAATAGAATTCCGATTATCAGAGGTTGTGGGCCGATGCTACCTAGGATAAAACTACTGTATTAAAAATTACAAAATATAAAAGATTTATATTTTGTAATTTATATGGTATTTCATTTTTAAGTCTCATTTACTTTAGTGAATTCAATCATATATAAGAACAACAATTTTCACATAATTTATTATACAGCTGATATGTACTGTACTGTACAATAGTTTAAATAATAAAAATATGTACAGTATTATTGTAGTTGCATTTCAACATGAATGGTTTGTCTCATATTGAAGTTAAATGATAAAAAGTAACAGAAATAGATAATTTTGTAATACTTGTTATCTTTTAAACATTTTTATGAATTACAATATAAGAAAAGTAATGTATTCACTTGTAGGTTTGCCTCGGATGATGCAGAATCTCGGTTAATCTGGCTCGGATAATTGGATTCTAATGTATATTAAAATAGCTGATGTTCATTAATATACATTAATTACGAGTAATTCGGACATCTTTTTCAAACTTGCAAGAAAAGGTAAAAAAGGAACTACTTTTTTAAGCTATTAGAATATTTTTTAAATCGTTCTGTTAATGATAATTGTTTTCCTGATTTGTTAACATATTACTGTAATTAGTTATAAAAACAGATTCAAGTGTAAAAAGTGACTGAAAAAAACAAAATCTATTCAAACATTCAATACAGGCAATTAATTGATGTAATGTTTAGATTTTAAAATTCAAATATTTCATACTAAGACGATAAGTTTGTCTTGCCAAGTTAATTTATTAACCGTTGAAATTTGTTTGCAGGCCAATAAAGGCCTAACTTTCTGTTTAAACATCAGTTTCCAATAACTCATAAATAATTATGTACTGTACAATAATAATAACATATATTTATTAATCAAACAGAACTAATTATTTTTTATTAAATGTAAATTATTAAAATAATCAGCGCAAGACTTTTAATGCCCTGAATTTTATAATGGCTAACCAAATACTGATTAGTCACAAATACAATGCTTTAATATNTATTTTTTATAACCAAATAATTATTTCAAAATATTATCAAACACTTGATTATAATAGATAATAGTTATTTATTTCAAAATATTTATCTTTGTTTTCAATAGAAACTGTAGAGTTTTCTCAACAAATGATAGTTTCTGGAGCATGTGTTGATCAAACAAAATGTAACCTAACTAAAAATGGCTGCCCAAAAGGCAGGAAAACAAACAGAGCGTCTGGGCCTTGACATTATGTGGCAGCACAGTAGGAGTATTAGAACCAATGACAACAGTTTGTATACCATTGAAATGGCAGTGGCATTTAATTTCATTCAAAACAGTGATTGTCCTAAAGTTACCCTACTTGTCACAAAGTAACCCCAGTCTACAATACCTTAATGATCTCATATGCATATCACATAAAATAGCCATACTAACTCAGCTTAATACATAATTAATTTCACATATAAATCAGTTTTGTATGAAGATGAATATGGTCTGATAAGAGTCAATATCTTAGAAGATGACAAAAAGATTCAGAAGTCTTTGATGTATGTACAGCTACAGTTAAATTATAATACAAAGTATTTAATGCTTTCTCTAAATGTTGGATTATTATTATATACATTGGAATTTAACAGAATGTGGTATTACTTGCAAATTGGTAACAGGTTAGGGACTCCAATTTTAGCAATACACACAATATACTTTTTGTGGAACTTTAATCAAATCGGTTTGATTTTGTACCTTTTATCTTGAACTTCAACAATTTTTATATGTGTTATCAAACAATCCTGTGTACTGCCATTGCACTGCATTTAACGTAACTATTTAATGCTAAAGTTTTCTGTGACAGTCCATTGCTGATACATCTCTTTCCATCATGCTACTTCAATAGAATACAGGATAAAATTTTGGATCCCAAACCCATATTAGATCGAGTTCAAATTGTACTTACAGTTTCTGTAAGAAAAATTTATTGTATTGTTTTATGCCTTTTGTCCTGAAAATTAATTTAGGAAATTTGTGTTCATGTTCAGTGGCATGATAAACCCTTATATAAATAACTACCATAAGCTAGTAGATACATTTAATAAGAAAAATTTGATTTAAACTTCATCGGAAAGAATATGACTTTAACTGAAGAAAAACTAATGATAGGACCAATCTTCGATATTCAACTAGCACATGATTTGAAATTAAATCCAGAACCACATGCCAAGTCAAGTGCCCAATCTAATGTGTTATATTCTCTGGAGTCTATGCTTACCTCTCAGGAACTTCATTGAGAATTACACAGTTTAAAAGTATCCAAGCAGCATGCAGTCTCAGTCAAGTCGATTAGATTTTTAGTTTGAGATAACACACAATCATATTATCAAGTTGATTCATTATCAAGTTGATTCATTGTCAATTGATCTTTTTATGAAAAGCACCCAACTAGCACAACCTAGAAATGGAGAATGATGTGCTGACGCCATACTGTCTCAGGAAATCAAGATGCTCCAGATCAAATTTGAAGCGAGATCTTTGAGATGGTAAGCCGATAACTTTTTGTATGGCAAATACAGTAACTGAATAAATTTTATATGCAATTTTTCTATGAATATATTCGGTATAGAAAAATTTATTTAAGTTTGATTTTAAAACAGAAATGTTTTCTAGTAGTAAATAATTAAATGGAAATACTTACCATTTTAAAGCTCGTTTCTTTTTTGTTTTCTTCCATCCGTACTATATCGTGTAATGTCGCTACAGTTCTAAAAATGATTTTAGAATGAAAATATTTTAATTAATATATAAAAAAATATCTATTTTGATAGACAAATAACTCCTCACCGATTTTTATCTGATGAGCCTTCGATTAAGAAACTTAATGCTTCTATCACACATTCTGATATTTCGTCGGTGAACTTATCTAATTTTTAAAATATATAAAATAACATTTGTTTTAAATAACTTGTTTATTAAACAGTATGTATTTATGAATGTAATACATTTTAATTGTTTATATCTGTTTAAATATATTCAACTATTAACTAACTGTATACCAACTTAATCTCTTATTGTATGTGACAGATATTTTTGTGCATAAGAGCATGCTCACATGTAAAGGTGACTTCGTACATTTGGTATTCAGCAATTGGCTAATATGGAACATGTAGAGCTGCCTATTGGTCCTTTTTGATTCGGCACAATATACCAACAAGGAGCGGAAAATGGCAAATACCAAATATTAGTCGCAATTAGTCTAAATCAGTGGTTCCCAAACTTTTTCAATTCGAGGTGCCCTTGCTAAATCCAGGTTTTCCCAAGGCATCTTATATCAAATCCTAACAAGTACAATTTTCAAAATAGTGAAATAGCCAATAATTTTTTTAATTAAAGAGTTTGGACGTTAAGTAAAAATAAATAAAACATGTATTTAAGATAACAAAAAATGTAATTGAACAAATTCAAATAATTATAATTAGTGGGATGGATGAGCCTGTTGATCACCACACATTTTCTCAAATTTTGGAGTCAAATTGGATACAACCACCCTCATTTCCTCCTCGCATAGGATTTTTGTGAGATAGTTTTTATCATAGCGACAGCCGAAAACTCAACTTTGCACCAATAAGAAATTGCAAATTGAATTAAAATTCTCTGAGCTTTGCCACATCTTTTACCAATATCCAAAATTCAGTTAATCCCATGTTGATAAATTTTGTTTCAATGTATTGTTGCAAGACAACTCAATACATTTTCTTCTGCAGCAATAAATTCAGATGGAGCACTGACATTAAATGGATCTTGAATCTATGCAAATTTATCGATATTATAATTTTGAAAATATTTCTCAAATCAGGTGGATAGGCTGTGATAAATGTTCTTTAAAAATAGATTTCATACCTCGAGAGAAATCAACTTCATCAGAGGTTAAAAACTGTTGCAACAAGAAGAACCATTCTTTTCCTCCATCTTCATTTATTCTTCTTTTCCATAGTTTTAATTTTTTTTTTGTAAAAACTAAAATTTTCTAAATCGACTTTAAAAGGTGCATGTTGTTTCCCTGCAGGGAGAGATTCAGAGCATTCAGCTTTTCAAAAAGATCACATAAGTATGCTAGTTTACCAAAAAGTCTTCATTCACAAAATTTTCAGCATAGTTGTGATCTTCTTTAGAAAAATATAAATTTCCTGTTGCAGTTCAAACATATGGGACAAAACATTACCACGAGAGAGCCATCGCATGTATTACAACAAAGATGTGTGCTCTGATCCCATAGCACATAGTTTTTTTAAAAATCTTGCCTTCACTGACCGAGTATTTATAAAGTTTAACACATTCACTACATATTCTAAGGAGTGGATCAATGTAGGACTCAGATATTTTGATGCAAGTGCTTCCCTGTGAATAACGCAATGGGTCCACAGTGCGTCAGGGGCTTTGCTTCAAATAAATGCTTGCAATCCTCCATAACACCCAGGCATAGAATGAGCACAATCAGTACAGATACCAATGCATTTGGTCCACTCTAAATTATTTTCAGATATAAAAATATCAAGGATCTCAAACAAATCTTGAGCTTTAGCACCACAAGTGATACTTTTACAAAAGAGAAGATCTTCTATAATGTTATTACTATTTGTAAACAGTACATAGCAAATCAAGTGAGCACCATTATTATTTTCTATCTTCATCCAGCAGCAATCTAAATTCCTTTCCTTTTATTTTTTCAATTAACTGATCGTTAAAGTCCTCCTCTATGTGCTAATAGCTATGTGCTTCGACTAATAGCGTTATTGGACAAAGGCACTTTTGAAAGTTGCTTTCCAGCAGACTCACCAATTATCATGTTCACCATATCTACTGCAGCCAGTAGAATGAGTCTTTCTGCAATGGTATGAGGCTTCTTACATTTTGCATTTCTAAGTGCCAACTTACAAGATGGCACATAGAATTGCAAGATGAATTGCTACAAAATGCTAGCAAAACATTGCTTGGTATTAACGCCTGCTTATAAAAACTATCTTTTTCTTGATTTAACTCTTAACTTCCTAGTAAAGTAGTCATGAGATTTAATAACCATGCTACGTTGATTAGTTTTAAAATGGCATTTCAACTTACTTGGTAGCATGCACTCTGGTGCCAAAACTTTCATAACTGGCCTCTCTTCTCCATTGACTTCTGTCGACGTAAAACCAAAGTCCAAATAACTGTCACCATATTTTCGAAACTTATGCTTCTTCACACTCTTGCCACTAGTTGACGACGTGATCTTTTTACTTTCATTCTCAAAATACTTATTACTGTTTAGTAAAACTGATCCATTTTTAAAAATACATATGAGAAGAAATACTTCAAAAACTTCACTTGACTTAATTACAATATTCAGTTGATACAATCTCCAAAAATTAATTGAACACTGAAATTGCATGAAACTGACAGCTATTTATATACAAACACAAAATACCAAGAAAGTTTGAAAAACTACTAAAACAATTAAGAAACCATTTGGTAAACATTTGTAGAGGCTTCTGCAAACAGTTATTACTCAGTTAATCATTTCACTAGGTCTGCTAAATGTCACATCTTATCACACTGAATTGAAAATAGAAGTAAAATTATGAAAGTTTTATAATATTTCATGGCACCCATGAAAAAGCTGTGGCTCCCTACGGCACTGTGGCACACACTTTGGGAACCACTGGTCTAAATCATGCACACTACTTGTTACTGGCCAAATATTTGCTTGGCATTTGGTAAATACTGAATGTGTAGTGCCACCTTAAGAGCAATTTTTGTTCATTTTTAAAGCACGATCTTATATGTAAAACAGCATGCTTGTGTTTATGCAGAAATACATTGAGCAAAAAAATAATGCTCTTTTTGTAGAATTCGAAAATATAATCAAAGTTTAAGTTAAAATTTAAAACTCTGAGAATTAAATGCTCTAATTCTTGCTTCTCAAGTTGTCAGAAATGTGTCGTCAACTTTAAGATCTAATATAATTAAAAGCACCTTTAACGATTATGTAATATCAATAGATCACATCTACTGCCTTAAGGCAAAGGGCTCTATCTCCAAAAAATTGAAAATTAAGCTGCACATGTGGCATCCTATCTAGTAGTACCATTTATCGATACTGCCCAATATCTTGTGAGAAAAATGTTCTTTATTATTACAGAATGTTTTTCATGCTAGATATTAGGTGGTATCAATACATGAAATATTCCACTTGCACAACTCAATTTTCAGATTTTGGAGATAGAATCTTGGGACAATAGACATCTGATGTAGAAATTTCTCAGTACTTTGAAATAACTAAATGAAGACATCTTGAATGTCACTGGTATCATATGGTTTAATTAAACTTTCATGTAATACAGGGTCTCCAACCATTTTTTGAGAAGAGTCACGTGAGCTGTAAAAGACAAGCCCGAGGGCCGCACATGAAAAATAGAACCAAACATTAAGATCCTTTTTTTATTTCTGAATAACAACAGACATAAATCGATGCAAAATCCGTAACTTTTTCAAAAGAATTTCATCAAAACTGGGATAAATTTTGTGGCACCCAGCACTAAAATCTTTAGAAACATTTGTTTTTATGGCAATGCTCACTATTTTGATTTTATATATTTTATTTTTGAAAAGGTTTGTTCACAAAGCTCATATCTCCTAAGCAAACTTCTTAATACTTAAAATTCTCTTCTGGCAGTTTTGTAAAAAATTTAAGAGAAATTCCTTTCTTTTTACAAACTTGTTTACAGCATGGTCCGTTAATTCTACTTGACCTTTTCAAAGTTTATATGTTCTGAACTAGTGAAAATGTTGATAAAACTGCCAGAGAAAACTAACTACAAGGTTGGAGATGCTGGATCTATTAAATTAATATATAGGAGGAAGTTATTGATTATACAAACAAAGACAAATCATTGCATGGTTTAAAGATCTTACTGCTTATTTATTTTTATTTTTCTTTATCCAGCCAATAATAAGAGGAAATTACAAAGATTTTGTGAAGTTTTTATTTGCATACTTTACGTATTAAATTAAAATACAAATAGTTGATCTTAAGATTTTCAATTTCTCTAGGAATTTAAATATTTGATTCAAAACATTCAGCTACATTTAATAACAATTTTCAGATCTTACCTTCATCCGTCAATAATCCTATTATTTCTTCCAAATTTGTTCGAACAAACATTAATTGCTTTTGTTCCATGTGATCCTATTTGTAAAACAAAAAACGAAAATTAAGTAATTAATTCAAGATATTATATATGAAATAAAATAAAAATACTTTTTTATGCATTACCTGTCTCTTGTGGCGAGATTGTTTGAATTGCGACGGCCATTTATATTGTTCGTAAAAGAATAATTACAGAACATTTGAACTACTTTGAATTATGAATTTTAAGAAAAAAGATATTAAACTGACATTTGATAATTAAACTTAGATGATGATTAGTCCTTTCTGAATATTGCTGTTCTTATCAGACCTTTAAGCAAGGTAGAGTTGTGCTAGTACTCTGGTCAGAGATGTAATAAGGAAGGATGGATGCTGATGTTAATTTTATTGTGATAATCCTGGAGGTCCCAAGTACACGTACATATAAAAGGAGTAAGATCAGTATTAATAATGGCAGCAGCAAGGCCAGCTATAAGACAACTACTTCATCTGGATAGTAGAGAGAGAAAATGACTATATAGATTGAAGAAAGATCAAGAAGAAGAAGAAGACAGACAAACTTAAAAAAAAAATTGACCAATTTCTTACTAATGTGTTTTACATGATTAAAAATGGATTATAAAATGATGCCGTTGTAGCATCACACATTGTGATGCTGCCATTGTTAGTAAAATAAGTACTGTATAGCAGGTAGTTAAATGTTGTAGTAACAAAGTTGGAGAGTGAAATAAATCATTTTTTGATACTAAGTATGACTTAGATATGTCAAAATAAATGCAAAAAGCAAATTTCTGATCAAATAAAATAAAAAGAAACACTAAGCCAGTCAAAACTTTTTGCTCATATATGATACTTGACTATACTCAGACATTGTCATGCTGTTTTATGACATGATAACACAACTATATTACCAATCTTTGCATATAAGCATTGTGTCACTTTCACTGGGAAATCTTTGCCAGTGTTTACAATTTTGATATGCTACCTAAAGCAACCCTGATTGTAACTTCCTCTGTAACTATTATATTTTTGGATGTCTAAAACAGTTCCTAAAAGATAAATGTATTACATCGGACAGTGTTAGCTTTACAGAAATCACTTGTCCAAGCAATAATGTTATCGTACACTTATGCAGCAATAGGATAAATATCTGAATGCCGAGACAAGTATGTAGCAACTATAGCAAAGTCCTTGACTCTTTCATTGTAACACTTGTGATAAAGCTCAGCTCAGTAAGCCAATAGTGAAATATAGCATCAACCTGCAAATGACAATTTGCAGGTTGATGCTATATTTCACTATTGGCTTACTGAGCTGGAATTTGTAATAACCTGCAAATTGTCATTTGCAGGTTATTACAAATTCAAACGTTAATTTGTTTGTAATAATTGCAGTGCTTTGTAGAACTGAGTGAACATTACTATAGAAACTACGGTGGCATTCTTCAAACATATTACGCTATACAGCAAGTCCATAACAATCAAGTCTAATCTGCAACAGAGTCTGTTGTGGCTTATGGTTATTGGACATAAAATGACATTATGGCCTATACTATCCACAATAAGCTATGGGATTGGAACTGTGTTTGAACCCACATTTCCACTATCTATATTTAAAACTGTAGAGATATATGTGAGGGCCAGGATTTAAGAAGGCTGAGATTAGAATAGTTATATTCATTTTGTTCATTCATTTACCGTTTTGTTTCAAAACCAAACCAATTTTTTTAAAGTTAGGGTTAACACAGAAAGGGAAAAACAACCGACAAATTTTCTCATAAAAACTCCGTTCCCACGAAAATACTTCCCTGTAGAAGATGAGTTAATTGTTGTGTCATAATTTTGTCACTTCGCCCACCATTGGTCAACGAAGATCATCACCTGTGATGTACAGTACATGGGGAAATATTGAAAACATAGCCCCCATATAAAAGGAAAGTGCGATGATGACACAAGGGGGAAAAAGTTATTTTCTATACGGTGTGTGTGTGGATTACCTGCCTCTCGTCACCACCGTCTTCAATAGACTTTACAATTCTGACTTTGATTACGACTTGAACTTGGATTTTGAACTTTAGACTATATTACGAATCCAGGAGAACAAGAACCTACCTCCACGTTATAACTAGAGGTATTTATTCTACTTGCGATGATATGTAAGCTCTCTCTCAAATATTCCAAACTCGCGGTTAGGGTCGCGACTAATTTATATTTTGCCCACTACTTTATGGACTACAGATTGAACCCCTGAGAGGGATTTGTATCCTCGACTCTTTCAATAATTAACTATGTAAAAATGTATAATAATAAACGGGTATTTTGTTAACGAACTTGGATTGGTGTGCGTTTCTTCCGACATTATCCACTCCCTATTGAACCCAAAGTCATGCACGCGATCAGTCGTAATAATTCCTCCTCCAGTCAACCGCGTATCTATCCGCGATGGAAATGATAGATTGGTGTCAGATCCTGACGTGAAATAAGGATTTATCAATCCTTAACGTTAAAACCCTTCCGCTCAAAAGAGCCCATCCTTTAGACAAGTGAGACCGGACCTCAAGGTCTTGAATTGAGTAAGAGGTAGGAGAGTCAAGAACTCGTAAACATCCTACCCCTGATTAGTCTCACATATATGTAATTACTTTTAATTTGTAAAAATAAAATTAAATAGTCATAAACATCATTTGTAATCAATTATTAAAAATTAATAATTAAAAATTTAAAAACTAATTTTTTAAAGGATATTCTTCCTGCATAACAATATTAGAACATAAACTGGTTTTATGTATGTTTTGAAGATACAACATCAAGACAAAACGAAGAGAACATACTTCCACTTTAGATTTTATTTCCTCTGAAATTAATTATTGTAAAGTGTTTAAAATGTAAAAACAACAAATAAAAACCGACTTTGAGATAACTTGCCGACATCCTTTTCCGTCGCATCCGAAAACTGTCGATCCCATTCGATACGTTCGTCAACTTTTCTTAGATGAACCAAAAAATAATTTTCAAAATATCTAAATATAACAAAAATTGATTTTATTAATAAATAAGAAAATAGAAAATATTTGATAATTATTAATATAATATATTTCTCAGAAAATAAAAATTAACATACTACACCCAATCCTTGATTTGCACAATATTCAAAGTGAACAAATTTGGTTTAACAAGGTTGAAAAATTACGGCCGAGGCAGTCTACTGCTCTGGGGACCCGGGATTTAATCCGGGTGGAAAACTTGAGGAATTTTTGTGGGGCTTTTTATGAATCTTGAATATGCTGGGCCCCGTCTCTCCGCTACTTGACTGTCTCCGTTGTGGGCAAGGCCAAAGCCATAATGGGTATGAAAAATAAGCCCTCTTAGTGCCCAAAGGCAGAAAGAATTAAAAAAACAAAAAGGATGGATAAAATATGACAAAACTTTGTTTTACATGCTAGGGTTTCAGTTTAACATTGTATTTTAAACTGCATGACTGTCGTATTGCAATAGAATTCAGGTGGATCAGGAAAGACAGACAATATCCATGCACTTGCTGGGTGTGGAAGAGATGATCTTCACATCTCTCAGCCATGGGAGAGGAAATCCTTGCACTAGCTGGATATAGAGAACTGACCCTTGCACTTGCCAACACAGAGAAGTGATCCTTGCACATCCGACATGGAGAGGCATGTTTTGTTTGTTTTTGGCACCTATTTTCTGTTAGGTGCCCGCAATGCTTTTTAAAAGTTTTTTTTTACTTTTGCTCCCTAAATTCCATTAGGCAAATTCAATCACATTAGGGAGCATGGACATTGTCATTTTGGTTCCACTGTATCCCTAAAACAAATTCTGAAACAATGCAGACTGCCATTTTCCATTAATTGCAATGAGGAATCCAAAAATTTAATTAAAAAGGAAATGTAAAAGTTTTGTCAAAATCAACCATTCAAATTTTGAGAACTAACACAATTCTGTAAGTCACGTAGAAGAGGTTTCACTAATACTCCACCCGAAACGTTCTTCAGTATTCTATTTTAAAATTAATGTTTAGGTCTATGCTTATTCTTATAACGTCGCAATCATGTCACTACTATTTTCTACTTGCCCTTTGGAGACACAGGATTCCCCATTTAATATTATATCTCAAATTCATATCATATTTATTAGCATTAAACTTAGCTCCATGTTGGGAAACTTACGAAAACATTATATAAAAATAAAACACTGTAATACACTTGTTGTCTAGTTTAAAATTTATTGATGAGCTATATAATGGCCTCTTTATTTCATGACCTGTGTTAAACATTGTGATCAAATGTTGCTCAACTTTCTCAGCAACATTTAAAACTGCATATGGTACCATCTGTTATGATATTTTATTTTCAAAAAATATATATTTTTAACTATTATAAAATGGCAAAAAGCTTAATTTTGAAAGTAGGAATGGGTTTTATAAAAAAATTGTAAATGCTAATAATGAGTCATTAATTTGACTCTACTGGATATACACACACGACCCCCATCATCTCCCCACCCCTTTGATCTTTAATCACCTGAATTTAATAGCATCAATCCCTCTAATACACAAACCTTCCTGCAAAATTTCAGAAATTTTTAACAAAAAGCACAGGAGTTATTAAGCTTCAGACAGAGTGAATCTACATCGACTAGCTCCAGTGCCTGGATGGCCAAGCGGTCAAAGTGGCAGCCTACCACTCTGGGGGACTCTAGATCAAATCTGGATGGGTTGAAAAATCGCCAGGAATTTTTCAGGGGCAGTCCATCCAGATATGTCGGCCCCTGCCCTTCACTACCCAGAGACCCATTGTGGGCTGGCGAATCCATAATTGGCTTATTATAAGAAGCCCTTTAATGCCAATCTTGGATATGAAACTTTCAAAATCTTATAAGTTAAGCAATAAATTTTCAGAGACCACTTTTTTGGATACATTTTAAAAAGTGGTCTAGGAGCTGTTTGTGGTTAAGGCTACAAGCTTGCCAAGTTTTGTTCAAATCTCTGATTTAAATGTCTGGCTCTCTCCTTGTAACTGACAGTTCAACATGTTACTTTTACTTTCCAGACACCAAACTGATAAGGCTACCAGCACCTGCATTAAAAGTAAAACTGGTGGTGATAAACAATTTAAAGTGGCAAAAAAAATTTAAACTGACAAAATTTTGGCAATATTTTTACATTTTCCAAAGCAACCTGTGCATACTATTACAAATAAATTGATATATTGAGACTGGTCTTATGTCTGATGAAGTGAAGTTTAAAAAGTTTGTTGTTTCACACAATTGGCAACCAACTCGGTATGCCAATTACATTAACAAAGTTCAGGTAGTTCAATATGCTGATCTAGGTTCGTCGAGAAGACACCTTACAACGAATCAACAAGTTGTTGGCTAGTAGTAATCTTCCAGCAGTTGAAGAACAAACTGCGAGATGAATCCTGACTTAACTCGAACTCCGGTGCACACCAGAAGACTTATGGCAAACTTAGTGTATATCCTGACATTCCGAAGCAAACTTATGTAGACCCGAAGTTTCTAACCAAACTTACTTCCAACATGAAGTCCGAAGCCAAACTTAAAACTCCCGCTTCGACATTGATTCTTTTATAGCTATTGATAGTGAGTTGGGCGACCAATCAGTGCTTACTGAGCTGTAGCACTATGCAAATAACGTTTGGTGTGATTCCCTGCCGACCAATCAGCAGTTATCGGCTGTAACACTATGCAAATTTGTAGAGTGGTGAGATCCTCGACCAATGAGTGATTAGCTGCTCTGTTGGAGGTCCGCTGGTGGTATGATGATCTGATGACCAATCAGTGGCCCAAATTCAAAACTCTTTAACCAACTTTCCGCAATGACGACTGTTATCAGTTTAGAAATAGAAAGGCGGGAATCGTGTTCTTACATGATTCTACCCTGACAGATGATGGTGCATTAAGTCTAGAAATAAAGAGGCCATTATAGAGCTTATCAATACAAAAGAAAAAAAAAGATTTGATAATGGATTTTATTAGGATAAGACTGTCAATATTTTTGGTGAACTAATTAGAAAAGGTCTGTAATTGAAAAGTTAGTAATGGAAGTGGCATAAGATTTTCAATTAAAACAGAAAGGAAATTCACATCTTAATCAACAAGTGAAAATTATGTAGAAAATTTAATTTTTGTTTATTTTATAATGAATGAGAACGGCTCATAAAAATATGGAATCATGGAACTTATCATTCTTTTTCCCAAGGAAAAAGGTCAAATTTGTTCTTGATGGTAAACATTAACAAGGAGTTCTATATTGACACTCTTGGTTGCCATCATGATGCAGTAAGACAAAAATGGCCTCACCTCATAGTAGAAAGCCTTGGTCTCTCTAGCGGCAATGCTGGTGCATCCATCATGCTCTCCTAGTTAATGAATAGCTGGCAAAACACCAGACGCCTGTACTTCTATAGCTTTTTTAGTCACTAGACCTTATTTTTTCAGACTTTTGTGTCTTCACCAAATTGAAGCTCTACTGAACAGTCACAGATTCAAATCAAAAGAAGTAAAAAGTGCTGCAACCATTAGTCAAGGAGACAGTGCAGGATGAGCCATAAGACTAGTGTCATTGCAAGACCAGAAGACATCTTGCAGTCTTGCAAGGTGGGTTTCAAAATTACTTGTGTTGCATTACACTTTAAATAAACTTGATAAAACTAAACTGTATCATCATGTACTTCAAACCAATTACGGTGTGCAGATAAAAAAAACAAACATTTTTGAACTCCTTCCATGTTCTTTATCAGGTTTTGTAACGATTCCCCAATGGTTTGAAGAAAGTTTGTTTTTGTTTTCTTTATCTGCACACCGTAATCGGTTCAAAGTATGTGATTAACTATATCCCGGTATGGTGAGTGGTTGTTTAAACTATAGTGCATCAAAAGCTATGCATAAATGCCAAAACTACGCATAGATTTACTAGTTACGAACATTGGAAGGGCAAAAAATATCGTTGACAAACTAAACAGAAGGAGCAAACACTTCTAATGTAATGCAATTACAAGTGCAATGAGACACACTGGATGTTTTTCTGTATATTTTATTTAAAATTTAATTATATATTTCACATCATTATTAAAAAATACTAATAAATTTGCATGGATTTAATCTGTAAAGTGAAAAATTATATAATTGTAATATATAATTTTTGCTTTAATTGATTAATCAATATGAAACCAATAAAGAATAAAATACAAACACAATACAACAAATTAAATTGTAAATTATTGCATTACAAATAAGATATTACATTGAGACTATAAAACTCTTACTTACAGCCAAGCCACTTCTTTATGAAGACGAAACTTATTACAGGCAATATGTTCCCATACGGAATAGCTAAAATTTGTATGCAAAAATATTAAGCATTTGCCTATTTGTTTAAAAGGTAACAAATATCTTTTACAAATTATTTTTGAAATTTCGTATTTTAAATGCTTTTACCTCAAAATATTGTTCTTGGAACCGGATTTCGTCTTTGCATACGAAACGATTCTCTTTAAGTACTGGAAATAATTACATATGGAATTAAAAATATGAAGGGAGATTAATATAGAATTTTAATGCAACTATAAATTACTGTACTTCTTCAATTAAACCCCAGTGGGTTTATTTTTAAAATGTACTGTACCTATAAATAAATTCCAGGACTTCAAATAAACCCTATCCCTTGGGTTTATTTGAAGTCCTGGAATTTATTACCTTGCAACAGGAAATGTGTGTGTAAATATAAAAGAAATACCTTAATTACTTGTATATTTTCTGAACTATCAAAACCATTTATTGACTATTTATGGGTTATGGCTACAACATTTTAACATAGTTAACATAATTCAGCATCTTCCAATTTGGTTATTACATTATCACTTGCGTCTGCTTCAATGCTGTAGGAATCGAGATCTTGATTCTCATCTACAAAAGAGATGGCAAGTTTGAACCAGAGTTTTTCAAATTACCCTTCGGTTGATAAGCTCTTGACTTATGAACTCTAAGGTAACTTTCCTAAGCCCTGTCCAATATTCAAAAATACTTCTGTGAGCCTTGAAATAGGAAGTGTTGTCCAATGCTAGACAATTTGACCTATACAATGCAGTACTTCAACATGTTTTTCATGCTTTTTAACTCAGGATTTAATTTTAACAGCATGTTTATTCCTATTCAAAGACTAGAATTTAATTGAGGAAATATGGTAATTTTTCTCATTTCTGTACATTGAAAATATTCTTTCATTTAAAATTCTGAATTGTTTAGAAACCTTACAAATTCTCATTTACATTTTTACGACAATAGTTAGCCTCTGCCAAACATATCAGTTCTTATCAAATCGCGACTCAAATCCTGCACTACTTGATTTGAAATCAAGAAGTATGGGGATCAGATAGTACACCTGTTGAAGATGGAACGGAATATTGCTTCTTTATATAATTTACTTATATTTTATCAAATTTAGAATAAATATATATGAAGAAGAGTTGAAAAATTACCATATAGGGAGCAGACAATTTGGCAAGAGAAATCAAACTATTTTACCAGCAGTAAGTGCTTAATGAACAACTGTTTTCAATCCTTGTAGCATCATCTTCAGGTTACACAAAGATCAAACTTACAATAACAGAATTCAGAATGGAATCTTTTCTTAAATCCTATGAGGATTGAGAGTAGGGGAACCTGGGGCAGAACGGGAAAGACGATTTACATGTGAAAGAAAGGTGAGGGAATTGGTTCGCTCCCTGTCCTACACTCAGACTGTGACAACACGTCAGTGTGAATACTTGGTTACTGAGATCCACTTTGTCGTTGACCAATAAAACCTTGCGTCGTGATTTTTTGATGAGATTACAAGTATATCAACATTAAAACAATGAAAGTATATGGTATATTTTATAATTTAGCCAAATTTATATAGTCTAGTTAAAGATTTGTTTGTTTGTATTTTTAGAATAAAATAATGCAAAAAGTAATCATAAACTTTTTTCTCTACTTGATTTTTAGAAGCATGTGCTTTGGGGCTCAACAGGTAGGGCACAATGGGATGATTTCCTGTAAAGGAAAAGATAACAGTCTAGTAAAAAAGAACAAGAGGACAATTACCCAGAAAGAGAGAATGATATGACTTGCCTTTACTGCACTGAGGCTTACTGGCAGTCAATTGAGGGTTGGTGTTCATGTGTTGCATGCAAAAAATGGGCTCATATGTCTTGTGCAGGTTTTGACAGAGACAATGACAATTCCATGCTGGTTTGCGAGTTTTGTAAGCAACAAGACTAATATTTTTTTTCTAATATTTTAGCACTAATCTCATACCCCATTCTGCCCTGAGTGCAGAGCTGAACGGGATGTGGGCAAGCTTTTTTTTAATGATTTATTTTTCATACAAAATTGATTTTTTTAAAATCTAATTTAAATAACTATGTGCCTAATATAATAAATAAAGGACATAATGTAATATTTTTGTTATTTTTCTTTTATTGTTGACATAATTTTAACTTCTTCGTTAGCTACCCCATTCTACCCTAGGTTCCCCTACTTATTCATTAAACTCTTATTGCTGGTAAAAAGGTTTGATTTCTATTGGCAAAATTCAAAATAAGATGTAAAGAGGTAATCTGCCGAGGGAAAGGATGTGCTTCCCAGAAGGACTTTCAACAAGAAGCTGGTCCTATTTAGTTGTTAGACTTGTGAAGAAAATCCAGAAAACCCCGTGCGGCCAGTCGATTTTTAGACGCAAACCTGCAACCAATGTTTGTGGTTTTATCCACTTGGCTACCAGTAGGCTAAATGATTTTTCAGTTTGCATCAGGGCTGTGGAGTCGCGTAAAAATCTACCGACTCCAACTCCGACTCCTACTTTTCCTTACCAATCCGACTCCGGCTAAAACACCAAAACTCCACGACTCTGACTCCACAGCCCTGGTTTGCATGAAAGCCTTTGTGATGAATTAGCTGTGTAAGTCAAGGACTTGTTATATAATACAATATTCTTTTAATTTAGAAAAAATAAATGAATAAATAAATTTCAAAACAATTAACGCTTTCATAATTTTAAAAAATTGAAAAATTAACAATTACAGATTTTTGTCATACCTTAAAATTAAATAAATCGGGTGAAGGTAAAGGAATCGTCCCGAGGTTAAACGATTCCGGTCTGACCCATAGATTAACAGAAGAAATGTCAACAGACATCTGGAAATAATGTATAGAAATATAATTAATTTTTTATATGTAAATAACAATTATATATAGATGTAATTAATTCTAATGTTTCTGAACTTAAAGTATATTATTTTTGATTCAGTTCTTTCCAACAAATGTTGAAATATATCTAGAATAACCGACTTTTGGATTACCGTGCATTAAGTTAATAGTACAACTAATATCTTGCACTAAGATAAAAGGATACGTAATAATAAAATCAAATTCAATACCAGTTTTACCTACTGACAAAAGAAAAAAAAATTAACTATAATACTTATTGTGAATGTTAACTTAACTATTTGTGTTGTGAGAGAAAGCAACAACAACAACACTATCCTGTTTTTATTTATTTACGTTTCCTTCAGAAGAGAAAGAATGTCATTAGTAGCAATCCTCAATCTTCGTTTTTCTCTTGCCAATTCCTAAAGACAGACATAAAACCCAAAAACAATTATATTTTCTGAAAACTTTTTGCTCTAAAAGGGAGGTTTTGACATGCTCCTGGGGGATTAATAATATTGTTTGTGTGTATGAACATTTATTGTAAAGGAAAAGAGCATGCTTCTGGAATGTTTAAGAAAATTACAGTGAAAAAATCCTGAGCAACTTATGAGTAAGTTGTGCGAAATCTTTTATCGAAGGACATGTGGTTCGGGTGAAATGTGGTTTTCTCTTAATTTGTGAGGTTGCTGCTTTACATTTGAATGAGTGAAATCCTTTTTTTTTTCAAATTAATGCAATTTTTAAATAAAATAATTGTAAATTGTATGTGCCTATTTACTTTTTTAAAAATTACTGATAATTTACTTCACTTTTCTTCAAAAATAAATTGCATAATCAAATCATTTGCAAACAAAATTTAATCAAAATTAATTTGTATATTGCATTTGCTACATAATTTCAATTATTTTATGAATAGAAAATAGTAATAAATTCAAAAAACAAGTTCATAAAATATATACACTGTATTGAAATCAATTAACATCTCCAATTGAATCATCTTAAAAAAGTTAAACAAAATTTTACTTTTAAGCAGTATTTTTGAATAGTTTCCAAATTTTATAATTCAGCAATTAATCTTTGCTATTCAGAAAACAAAGATTAATAAAAATTAAACTGTCTGCACTTAAAAAGATAAAAATGCAGTTTTAAATAGGAGGCTTGGACCCTCCCCTAAATGGCTAAAAGAGTCAAAGGAACCACATCTCTAATTGTGACCCTTGGCAAATTAAAATATCAGACTGGGCTGCTTGATAAACATACAACAAACTTAATGAAGTGAACAGCACGACTCCAACAGTGACCCGGAAGTAGTCGACACAATGGCATTTCTTGTGTTTTACAAGTTTTAGCCATCTCTAGTAAAGTGGAAAACAGTTTATTCCTAGCATTCTTTTGAGAAACAATTCTGGATTTTTTCACTTTTAAATTTTACCCCATTTTTTGAGGGCCTTCAAAATTTCATATTGGTCAATTTTGGTGGTAGGCTATATCTCACAATGGATCAAACGTAGACCATTGGTTCCTCTTGACATTTTTGCTCCTTTGGGCTATAGCTCTGATAAGGTTCCAACTTTCTCATTCACAGCTGCATTTGTGTCTTGTACAAAGCAAATTTTTGAGGATTACAGCTCATCCATGGTTATTTTATTGCTTTACTCATACAAAGGTTTGATAATTCTGGAGATCTTCCAGTCATCAGAATATACAATTTTATATCTAGCAGAAGTCTATCTATTGGATAGTTTGTATTTTTTGTATCTCTTGGACTGCTCCAAAGATGGCCGAGACATAAAATCTTGCCAATAATTAAAACTGCTATCCAATTACCAATTTTAAAGATGTGAAACTCATACTGTGTGTACTCAGCAGAGAGCGAATTATTTATTTACAAATGTTTTCAACCTACTACCATAAGCCATCATCAGGTTTTTAAACAAATTTAAACGGATCGTACATTCTGTTTAAATTTTTACATTTCAAGTCTTCTAAATACCGAATTAAACAACTTTATTTAGTTGTTTAATTCGATATTTAGAAGACTTGAAATGTAAAAATTTCCACATTGTATTTGTGTTCAATGTGGAAATAAAAGGCCACCATAATACAATTTTATTGGCGTAAGTGGAAAGATCAGTTTTAAAGTAGGATAAAGCAAACATTACTAAACCAGTACATTCTCCAATACTTGCTACAGAAATGGAAAAAATAGATATATATAAAAGCAACATTAAGCAAGTCCCTAAATGCTAGGAATGCATTTGCATTCCTAGCATTTAAGCTTGACCTTCCGCTTGGAAATACGCAATAGAGAAAAGATTAGGGCATAAAAGCCTGATTTATGTGTTCCCCTGTAATAAGTTTAATACAGGGGAACACATAAATCAGGGGTTTTTATGTCCTAATCTTTTCTCTATTGCGTATTTCCAAGCGGAAGGTAATGCGTTTGCATCCCCAGCATTTATTCACTGTCTAATCTTGCTTTATATAACTCTATTTTTTCCATTTCTGTAGCAATTATTGGAGAATGTACTGGTTTAGTAATGTTTGCTTTATCCTACTTTAAAACTGATCTTTCCATTCTGCTGTTGCTGCTAAAACTGTATTACGGGTGGCCTTCTTCCACTGTAAAAAAATCTTATTTTTCATAATTTATTTAGTTGTTTAATCCAGTATTTAGAAGACTTAAAATGTAAAAATTTAAACAGAATGTATTATTTATGGAATGTCTGTTTAAACTTGTTTAAAAACCTGATGATGGCCTATGGTAGTAGGTTGAAAACATTTGTAAATAAAGAATTCTCTGGTAAAAAAGCTCAAGATGAGAGACATTTAAGCATTAATTTGTATTAATTTTGAAGCTTTAAAAGTCTTCTTAAGTAGTGCTGATAAGCACGGTTATGGGTAAAAATGGCAATAGATATCTTGCAATTATCCAAATTTCTAATAAAATACAATTATTAATACGAATAATCTATTTGACATTCGAAATTACTTACTTTATTCGATTATTTAAGTGAAAACGTGTTCTCGACACGTGCTAATGTCAAATTCGTCAATTTCCTTCCAAACTTGCCGCCAGTTTTTTGCAAAGTTGCCAACCTGATACGAACGGAACGGATTTAAGTATATACGTTTTGTTAATTTATTATATAATATTTAATATAAATAAAATTTTACGAATATTTCATAACGTTTATAGAGATGACTCGAATCGATTAATTTTTTTTTTTGAAATATTTTTCGTCGTTTTAGTACCGAGTTTTAGCACAACCAAGATGGCGCTTTATTTCTAAGTGGAAATTTACAACGTAAGCCACGTGTTTTATAACATCATGGCAAAGAAAGTAAAGAAAAAGGTATATAATTTACTCGTTGTATTATTTATTGCGTATTTGTCTAAAAATTTAATTATTTGATTTTCAAAAACGGATATAATCGTATAATTTAAACAAAGCTTGAATATATTTAAATTTGAATTTGTGATCATGCTTATTAATAAATATTGTATAACATTACGTCAATTGAGTTCGATGAATTAAAGCAGAAAGCACGTGGTTACTCAAGCTCTGAATGATACGTTTGGGACCTTAATTGGCGCCCCTTAATTAACAGAGCTGTAGAGCATACTCATAGGAACAAAAAAGTCAAAGGAACCATACCTCTAAGAGCGACCCTTCGCGAGATATAGCCCCCTCAAAATGACTTATGTGACATATTTCTATGCTTTTTCTTCTCTGGGGTATGTAAAGGACAAAGTTTACATGCTGTCTTTGCCCCGAAACTTGAGGCGTGTTGCCCGATAAAGCGGCTTTACTAACAAAGCACCCTTGACCTGAAAGATTACGTATGTAGGTCTGTAGAAATGATTGTCGGATGTTTATTTCTGTGTGAAAGAATTGCATGTTTCGATGTGTGTTATTCAACGTGTGGTGTACACATTGAACTTTCATAAATGAGAAACAAACAAAAGCCGTTTCGGTTACTATTTCGAATAATTCAATTTGTATTGTCGTGTTTGATAAATGTTTCAAATCACTTATTACATTCGGATTGAATTTCTTTCATTTCTAGCACACGCAATACTTAAAAAAATTACTTCATTCGTTAATCTATTATACTAATTATACAATTCTCTCCAAATTATTTAGCTAATGAAGATCTGTATTATTGTAATATGAATTTAATATTCTAAAATGTTTTTGTAAAGTTTAAGATAAATTTCTCACCAAATTTTAGGGAGAAGCTGGAGCAGCCACAGCATATCTCAGTAGAAAGCAAGCATTAAAGAAACTTCAACTTTCGTTAAAAGATTTCAGGTAATTTGAATTATATATTAAAAAAATTAATTATTTTTAATTTATAAATATTGTGAATTCATTTATTTTGATGAAAAATATTATAATATCTTTTCCTTTGATTTTTTAAAAATTTTCAGGAGGTTGTGTATACTGAAAGGAGTTTATCCAGTTGAACCGAGACACAAGAAAAAAGTGAATCATGGCAGTTCTGCAAACAAAACTTATTACCTTTTGAAGGATATCCAATTTCTTGCTCATGAACCAGTGATAAACAAATTTAGAGAGTTTAAGGTAGTATTTTGACTGACTTCCTATTTAATAATAATGTAAATTATAATTAAATGTAAGTTTTTCGTTAATGTGATTCGTTAACTACGGACAATTTTTGTGCTGTTCACTACTTTTTGCTTAACGAAGATGGTCACTGCTAGTTTCTATACGGAGAGTTTACTTAATGTGTCTATATGTGGGATATGTGGAGTGGTGTTTTTCATTCCTCACTCTCTGCCATCCTCCATTACTGCCCCATATGAATTTAAAAGTAAATAGTATAAAATTTAAAAATGTTGTAAGCAGTTGACCATTGAACAGAATGGAAAATAGGTGCATCAGACTCAAATACTATGCTTCGTGAACAGCAATGAAATAAAGAATAAAAAATTTAATACTTGTTCTTATTCAATACCTTTGTTTTGTTATTAAGCATTGTCATATGTATTGCTAGTTTGCATATGATATGGATTCACAATAAGGTACAAATTTTAAATGAAATATGTAGTCTTGGAGATTGCAAATGCTTTGTGTAGTGAATAATGGTTCAGTGCGCAAACCAGACTAACATTAAGAAAGGGGATTCCTCATGCCGGAGAGCTGGTTGTAAGTCTTGAATGGTCATCAAACAGGTAGGTAAATGTATAGAAAAAATCTAAGATTTGTAAATTAAGAAAATTATTTGACTTTTGACTCTTTGGAAATATTTTCTGAGGTTAGATCTTTGGGTGTCTTGCTTGTGATCATAAGACAACTTTTCTTTTTACACCAGAAACACTCCATTTACAGAGATGATTATATCTGTTTTTAAGAGTTTGTCTGTTTTATATTCTTGTACTTTTGCTTCTGCATTCCTTAGTGTATTAATATTAGATTATGTTTTGATTAGAGCAAAGGAATCATATATTTATGTTTGTGTAAACTTTGGTACTTTTTTTCTCCCATTTTTAGTTGTATTATAACGATAGTTTAAAAAGTGAAGCCATGACAGTTGGAATACAATAAACTGTGTCATTTTATATATTTTATAAAATATATGTGCATAATTTGAGAAAAAAAGTAAAGTTGGAGCTAAAGTTTGGTTAAAATAATGAAGTTTTGGTTCTAAAGAATAACTGATGCAATTTTATTTATAGGTTTTTATGCGAAAACTGAAGAAAGCTTATAGTAAGGATGATAAAGATGCAGTTAAGAGAATAAAAGAAAATGAGCCCATTTATAAGTTAGATCACATTGTAAAAGAAAGGTATGTGGATGCATGAAAAACTGATATAATGTTAAAAATTTATCATGATTGCTTTTCTTTTAAAATAGTGGACTGAAGCATGACAGAAATTTAAGCAAAAACAAATGTTTCAACTTATAAATCTTTGAATTACAGAAATGAAGCACATTCAAAAAAATTACAACATATTAACAATTAATTTAACATGCAGAATAAAGTGTATATGTTTTATTTCCTTGATTAAACCATGTCTTCAGATAAAGTCCAGGGAATAATGATGCTATTAAAAATAAATCTTGGGTTGGAAAGCATTGTAACATGTTGAACTACTGCAAAGTATAGGATAATGTTTAGAGTAACGGATGAGAAATTTAACTAAAATTCTGCCTCTTCAAAATGTCTAGAGTGGACAGTACTTTGTTCCAATGTTCGTATGAACATTTTTCGAAATAAAAGTATAAATATTGTCAAATATTGAGTGTGGGAATGTCATCATTGAGTTCATAAGCCAAGACCCCATCAGCCAAAGGATAATTAGGAAAAATTGATTGAAAAGAGATGAGTTTGAATCGACAGATGGTAGTCACGATGTTGATTCTTACAGTGACATTGAAGCAGATAGAAATGACAATGTAATAATCAAATTAGATTACACTGAATTGAATTAACTATGAAAACAGTAATTATTTTAAATGTAGCCATAACCCATAATACAAACGATAAAGTAGTTTTAATAGTTCGGAAAATCTACGAGTAATCAAGTTATTTCTTTCAATTTTTACCGGCTTGTATCATTTTACAAGGTAATAAACCTGGGGACACGTACATTTTAAAAATAAACTTCCTCAGTTTAATCAAGGAAATTTGATAGTTGCTTTATATTGTGCATTGTATCAATCACTGTAATCATTTAATCTTTAAATAAAATGATTACAGTGATTTTTCTATATATTATTAGTCAAAAACTGTTTGTAGTGTATTAAAATAGTAATCATTGAATGTCTTCATTAAATTTCAATGTTGATATCTTTGTGGATAACACTAGTTTGACACATGTAAATAATAAGCTAAAATTACCGTATGTTTACGTGTTTTCAGATATCCTACTTTTGTCGATGCACTAAGAGATGTGGATGATGCGCTTTCCATGTGTTTTTTGTTTGCAACTTTTCCAAAGTTACGTAACTTAAAGCTAGAATTGCTTCAGTTGTGTAAGCGTCTGACAGGTAAGAATTTAAATTTTGTAAAATTTAATTCATTTCAGAAAGTTCATTAATGTTGTAATTAAATCACAATAAATTTTTTTGTTTGTTGCCTAAAATAAAGTTCGTATAAACTAGTTTGGAATAGAATTTTTAAATTAAATAAATATTCAAAAATCATTTATCTGGGCTACTTTGAAGCTATAAATTAATTCAAAATCTGTGTGATTTAGTAATTTATCTGTCAGTTTGCAGAAGTTTCTGATTTGTATACGACTTAGGGCTAATTGTTCTTTGTTTTAGTGTCACTGAGGGTCTTTCTTGTGCTGATCATAAGTGGTCAAATCCAAAATTGGATGATTGAGTGATGACGGTCAAACGAATAACACTTCACACTTGGCGGGATTTTTGATTTTTGTACACATTTTAACCCTTGACAAAACAATAACAATAAACTTGCCTTTATCAAAACTGTACAGGTGCTAAGCTAACACATTGGAGAACAAATTGACCTTGAATCTACAGTGGTTATTTACCTGCACTGAGTAGTATGCGCGAGCATTCTTTATTTTCTGGATGCTCCTCGTACTTTATCATAAAAATATACATAAATTATATATGTTTATTTACAATGAAATATATCTTGCATTTTTTGTCAAATATTTTTAGTGGAATTTCTTCATTACGTGAGAGAATCTCGGTCTCTTCGGAAAGTCTTCATTTCGATCAAAGGCTATTATTATCAGGCAGAAATAATGGATCAGTTAATTACCTGGGTCGTACCTCATCCTCTCGGATTTAAAGTAAGTTTGATTATAACATATAAACTTTAATGTGTCTTAATAAAATTAATTATATATAAAAATAAATGTAAAATATCTGAAATAATAATGACTATTTGAATACATTAAATAGACTTTCTGTATAAGTCATTCAAATGAAACATGGAACGATGCTACCTTCTACATTGGTTTGTCAGAATTGGCAAATTGATTAATACAGTAAAAATACTAATGACAAGGTTACTATAATAGCTAACATACCCCTAATCTTCAGGTATTGTCCATCACTGCGTAAATTTATCAATCACATGGGAGGAGGTGGCTATTATTTGAACTAGTCTTTGACACTTCACTTGTACTGTCATCCACTGCAAAGCATTGATGTTTTGGAAACTTTTTAGGGATATAAAAATGTGAAAAGTTGAGAATTCTCAACAGAACTACTACAATATCTCTATGCTTACAATTGCTGATATGTAATTGAACAGTGACCGGCCTAGTGTCAAAAACTGAATCACAGCTCATAATGCTTGATGTATCCATGTCATAATTAGCATCAAAGAATAGCTTCTTGCATTCTTCAGCTATTTTATAACTGCCTACTATGTGTTATCGCTTTTTTTATAACTGTGAATAATACTATTGCAATCAGTGATGGAATGTTACCTGCATTATCATCTCCTTGAGTCCATGTTTCATTTGAATGATGATAATACTGTATATTAATTAAAATTAATTTTATATTTAATAGCATCCGGTAGCTATAGATTTCAAGATTATGGTGACTTTTGCAGAATTCTATACGACAATGTTGGGTTTTGTTAATTACAAGCTTTATCATTCTCTCAATCTAGTTTATCCACCTAAGGTATTTTTAAGTATTCAGTACAAAATATAAAACAGTGAAATATACTTTAATGTGTTTTTTATATACCGTGTTATCTAATTTTTAGTTGGAAACATTTCATTCCTCTCAAGATTTAATAGGAGATGACGATCCAGAGGCAGAGGTAAGTCCAGTTATAAATATTTAATATTTCAACTAAANGGGATCTTAAAACGTGGAGATTTGCAAAAATCTCGGACGGTCAAAATTTGACACGCTTCCAATACTTACCTTTGTTATATATGTTTTTACATAACAGCCAGAGAAAGTAAAACAGAAACAGGATTTTCTGCTTCTGTTACATATTTAATTTCACGCATAGTCTTTGAATCTATAAATTCCAATAATTTGATTTCTAACTTATCGCTGTTTTGTATTTCCAATTCTTGAATTATTGGCTGAACCGTTATTTTTTTGTATTTTCGATTCTTTTCTTTATCACTTACAATCAGTTTCAATAGGTAACGCTAAAGGCATAAAAGTTATAAACTGATGCTGTTTTCTTTCAATTTGGTATTGATAAATTTTTTATCGAGTACTCTATCGCAATCTATGTTATAATTTTTTTTATTATTAAGGGAATTCTTTTAGTTTATATTGAACAAAATCTAATAGCAAAAGTATTAGTCATCATATTAAGAAGGTGATTTAAAAGTTGAAAATACTTAATGGAGAAGTTTGTCCTACATTCATGTAACTTACGAGTTACGAATGACATAAGAGATTTTATGAATGAGACTAAAATGGTTCTGACAATTATAATCCCGTTCGTTAATTACATAATATTCATAATACTAGAATTATATAGCTTCTTACGTAGCTTTCTATTCTATCTGCTGCCAATTGGTTTATTATAAACATTTTTTATAATGACCTAAAATGTTGATTTATGGATTTTTCTAGGCCATATCTGATTGTAATATGAAACTCGACTGCACTGTTGATAATGATATTACATACTGTGGACCTTATTATATCAGTAAAATATATTGGATAGAAGCTGGACAACCCGGATTCGTGTACGAAAATGATGACGAATGTAATTATAATGTTTCTTTCCGTTAATAATTATTTTAATATTCTAGTACATTGCTGCTCTGAGTGGATCTTTAAAATCCATGGTTAAGGAAGTGGAAGAAGAAATTCCCTTGGATAATTTTATGGTAATTTTTTCATTCTGATTAAAAATTAAATCAGAAATTTCATTAATAACCATGTATTTTCAATTTGAATTTTGGTAATTTTAGTAGAATGATGTATCAGATTTCTTAAGTAAAAGCAACAGCTTTTTTCTATATGGTTCGATATAAAATACAGGGTCTTCTGAAAAGAATACTATCATTTTAAACTATTGTAATTACATTAATTATTATTTGAAAACATTGTAACTCATTATATTAAAACATTGGTAAACTGTCAAAGTTTCACGTTTGCTCATTACAATTCTCAATGCCTGCATCTTGTGTCACATAGCACACATCTAATACTCAATTTCCTCTTACACTTAATACAACGTACCTATTATCACTTCTTCCACAACAGCCACCATTCTACAGCTCCTGCAGGTTACTCCTGTTCAAAATGATGAGAGATTCTGACTGAACTGCAGAATACAGGACACTTTGTTTATTTTGAAGTTGCCATTTTCATTTATGGCACTTCCTAGAAGAGACAGTTGACGACGAGATGTTTGAATGTGACGGGAGATGAAACTCTAACGGTTATTCTATTGATTGATATACGTCGCATACTTCTTGGATAATAATTAACGTAATTACAGTAACTTAAAATGGCAGAATTAATTTTGAAAAACCCTGTTTAATTTTTTATATATGCATTTCCTTAGATTATGAGAAAAATCTTAAGTTTTTTAAAATAATTTTCAGTCAGGCAGAAAATTGATAATTTGTAATGTATTTAATAATTTTAATAATTTAAGATTGAAGATGAGGATAAAATGAAAAAAGCACGCGAAAAACAAGAAGAAACAAAGAAGTTACAAAATATGTTTAATGGCTTAAAAGTATTTATCAGTAGAGAAGTTCCAAGAGAATCATTGGTATTTGTCATCAGGTAATTAGATTTATTTTTAAAGCTAAAATTATGTAACTTTAGATATTAAATATTGATGAAATTTTCATTTATTTTTATTTAGATCATTCGGTGGAATGGTTTCTTGGGATAAAAATACATTTGTAGGTGCAACCTATGACGAAACAGACCAAACAATAACACATCAAATAGTTGACAGACCAGAAATCACTGATCAGTACATGAACAGGTAAAAGTTACTATTATTTTTGGATACAGCCAATGTAAATATTTGTAAATAATTAATTAATATTTATTCTTATGAACTCACACAGAAGCAATTTATATAATTTACTGCTTAGTTTAGAGTTATTACAATGCTAATAATTAAGATTATTACATACTTATAAACAATTTTTTTCTACTTTTTCAGGTATTATGTTCAACCTCAGTGGATATACGACTGCGTTAATGCACGTATGTTACTACCAGAATCAAGATACTTTCCAGGAGTTACTCTTCCGCCTCATCTCTCGCCTTTTGTTGAAGAAAAGGAAGGGGAGTATATACCTCCAGAAAAACAAGAAATTTTAAACATGCGCAAGAATCTTCCAACAGGTATATTTATAAAAAAATCTTACACCATCCTTTATGTTTTATGTAGTAAAACCTGAGTAAAAGGGAAACCTGCCTAAGTGGAAAATAATACTTGGTATTGTGATTCCATTTTACATAGGTTTTACTGTATTTTTAGAATAAATATGTCTAGATGTTAACAGTTTAGTTAGTTGTATAGCAACAAGAATCTGATTAGTATAACTGTTAATGTGACTGTTAGTTTACAGGTTTCTTTTCCATATTAGCCTTTCTTTTTGTATTAGGATTTTCTAGATTATTGAATTTAATCTCTAATTATTAATGCTTATTTAGTATGCTCTCAATTATCTGGGATGAGAGGGAAAATGTCATATCTGGTAATCCAGTAACATTAAATTTCATGCCTGGTAAAAAGAACAGGTACATTTTCAACAATATATAAAGAGAATAACACATACAATTACTTCATGTTACTCGTAATAAACTGGATACATTAGTAAAATGTATTTTCTTTTCCTCCTTCTAACCAATAAGTAGAGTTTCGGCAAAGTTCAGGTCAGCTCAACTATTTGAAAATAGTGAACTGAGCTACAAGTGAGCTGTGAATTTGTATGGAAACTGAGAGCTGAGCTGAGATTGCATGTGTTGCAACAAAGCCCATTTTTGAAATTAAATTGCATCTGTAATAATGGATATGCAGTATGTCAAGTTCGTTTTCATTCACCTGTTATTAAGAGGAGAGCATTGAAATAAAAACTAATCGAGCATTAAACGATTGAACTATAAACAATTTTTAGATTAAGAGAATTATTCAAAGTAATAAAGGGTAATATTTTAAAATTATACAAATAACGACAGTTGTTTCTAGCAAAACATGTACAGTAGAGACGCAATAATTTGATGTGGATGGGACTGAGACTACGTCAAATTATAAAAAACTCAGAATACGGACTAGAGCTGAGCTGAGTGCTTAAATTCTGACACGTAGCTCAAGTCATTTTGTGTACACAGAAACACACACTCTTGGCATAATATAACAACCATACTATAATGAACATAAGCAAGGTCATTTCTTCATTTTATTTGTTTGTCCTGTTATGGAACGTAGTAATGATTCAGAGCTTAATCTTATTTCTCTTACCAAACCTCTGACAATAAGCACTAAGTCTGAAAGTTTTTGAGTTTTCTAACAAGCTTTTCTCCAAGAAAAGCAGTCGGAATCAGATTTACATTTCAGGAGCTTTAACAAGTGCATGAAATCATATCATTTAAACTGCTTTAAAATAGTAAAAACAACCGATGCCATTCTAATTCCGCAACATTCATTCTAAATAAGTGTCGCAATTACATACTAAATTTCTACTATCAGCAAATTATAATTAGCAAACACATTACAAGATCTTAATTAATATCACAAATTAATTGAAAAACAAAACAAAAGGACTTATTTTTGGGATGCTTTAACTTAAAATTACATCACTTTCTGAAGGAACGTCATAAAGATAATTAGATAAATTTAATTTGAATCTGTCTATAATTATATAAAGTTTGTTTAAATTTTTAAAGAATGATGAAAAGTCAAACAGAATTATGTAACTCTTAAGTTCACCCCAAGGAAATTAAAATGTTTTATTTTTTAATTAACTTCTACTGTTGATTGGAATTATTAATCGAGTGAATTACTATAATTGCTAATTTAGATCGTCCATAGTTAAAATTTAAGAAGGTAGAATTTCCAATTTATACTGTTAATTTAATGATCTCATTAAAATTGTAGAGACAGAATAAATCTTTTGACTCCCAAAACATTTGTAATTCTAAATGTTTGCAAAGTTTAAATCATTTATTTAAATATTAAAAAAAAATACATTTCTATAAAACTCTTCTCAATCAATTTATAATATAAAATAAATGATGATAAAGTCAAACTATCCATTGCAATTAATTTAATGAAGTAATCAATACATCTTTAACAGATATGCTAACATTCAGTCCAGTTAACGGACCCTCTTAGGCATGAACAAATGTTAAGGAATGACGTGGAAACAACGTGAGATTTTTCTTACATTCATTTGTGCCCAAAGATGACCCATTAACTGGACCAAAACATGTTACCATTTCTCATGTCTTAGTCACTGTTAATTTAACCCCTCAACATATCACTTCATTTTTACAGTCAACTTGTAAAAACATATAATAAATTGGATAGTAGAAGATGCAAAACTTGATTTCACTCTTCTGTAAGCTGTAACCAGTGTCTACATTTATTAGTAGTAGTTTACATAAGAGTAAGTGTAATGCATGTCAGGAAAACTTAGGTGAAAAAGTATAATCTGCGTTTAACCTGTTTTCTCTATTTTCGTGACTTGAAACAGATAGAATCGTGTTCCTCTCATAAGCTTCAATTTGATACTTATGTGGCTCATTTCCCAGGTGACTGGAAGTCACCCTAAACTTAACATTCTCTTTTGGCCCATGTGAATAGGACAAGTTATGGCTATCGTCTTATTTAAATGGGGATGATGATGATAAAACTGTTTTATACAAAATTATTTGATATTATGTATGGTTTACGAAGTTTTTAGTTTTATATGTATTATAGAAGCAGAAATTTAGTAATGTTACAATAATATTTAATTGGAAATCAGCACTTCAAAATTATTGATAAAATAGATACAAATATTGTAGTAAATTTCTAATATGTTAAGTTCTTTATATTTATTAGATGAAAAATTAAATATTGAAGCAAGTGAATCGGAATCTGAAGATGAAGAGGAGGAGGAGGAGGAGGTGGAGGGAGAAGATGATGATGATGAGAGTGAAAATGAAAGTGAAGGTAAGATGATAGTTTAGAATTTTTTATAATTTAAAACAATCGTTCTAATCCTAAATGTAAAATTTCTAGATGAGAAACAAGAGACGGAGGTCGGCGTGCTCAAAAAGAGAAAATTGGAAAACAAGAGCAAAAACAAATCCGAAAAGAAATCAAAGATGGAAGTGCAGAGAGGAGAAATAAAAATCGAAGATAAAACCAAAGTTCGCCAGAGAGAAGAAGCAGAAGAGAAACGACTCAGAGTCATGATGATACCGAAGAAACATAAAAGACTATATAATAAGATTGTATTCGGAGAGAAAAGAAGAAAGAGAGAGGTATATCATTCAATTAAATATTGAAAAATGTTCAAATTATTCAATTTAAATGTATTTAAAATATTCTTTTAGGCCGGAAAGTTGAAGGAGAAAAGGGAAATATATGAAAAAGAGCAAAAGAAAGCAAAGAAGAAGAAGAAGTTAATTTCTCCTGTATAAAATATCAACTTAAATCAATGTATAATAAAAATTTTATTATTTGTAAATGTTATTTATTTAGAAAAATACTTTTAAAAACATTTAAAATGATACTATTAAGTATTTAAACACTCCAAAACATTGACCCATATTAAGGATTTTTAATTAGAATGAAATCTAATGGACTTGTTTATCAAAAAACAGAATTAATACAATTATTGACTGACTAAGGCTTTGAACTTTAATGGTTTCTTCTAGTTTTATAAGAAACCTTACAGTTTTAAGTTACTCAGAAGACTCCAGAAGAAAGCCATCGTGTTACATGCATTTAAGGAGTTAAGTCTGGAAAGTAACGTGTTTCTGGTACTTTTATAATAGATCTTTCATATGAGATAGAAAAGAAATTATATAAAGTGAAGTAACTGACATTTTATAATAATTATTGATATGGATAAAAGGAAGAGATTTATGAGGAGTATTTCCACATTTGAAGAGAGTCCTCCTAATAGTTTAATCCATAAAATAGCGGATTATCACGAGAAGAGGCAAACTAGTCAAGAAATTCGTATTAAATCACTGCGCTCGGCTTTCAGTGCATGCAATTCGTTAAGTAATGATAGTGTAGAAGATGAAATACCACAATCTGCTGAGGAAATCTTGAAGAATCTAGGGATAGTAAAGAAAGAACCCGAAATACCTCAAAGATTCTTGCATGATTTCATAGAAAGACACAGAATCGAAGATGTGCCCCAGTTGGATAGTCGAGTTGCTAAGGCTGTGGAAGATGTTAAAAGTAATTATAATATAGAATATAATCACGAGAAATCATCAAGGTTAGCGAGTAGAAGATTAACAAGAGCGGCAACTTTGCTAACGCTTCATGGCGATTGTGATTCATCTCCGAAAGATTCTTCGTCATCGGATGACGAGGAGCATGAAATTATGTATGAAATTCAAACACCGATTACGAAAGCTATTGAAGAATTGAATAAGGATGAGGATTCTGACAGTTCTCTATACGCCACACCACAGAAAGATTCTAGAAATTGTAGTTTTTCCAGCGATTCCATTGAAAGACCCGAACTGAACAGAAGGAGATCGCTGTCTTGTTCCGATTTCTATCGCTTGAAATCATCCTTGACATCAGAATATGCGACTTTACGCCAACAATTCAAGACGTTTAGAGGTGTGAGCGATTCTAACATAGAAATAAGTATGCATTCTCCAGTTAAACGTAGTTGCAATGCGTGGACTTCAGCGGATTCGGATGAAGACGACATCTTGTGCGTAATATTACCAGCAAACAATGAAGAAAATGTAAGAAACGAGGATTTAAGAGTGAAAAATCTTCAAGAATCACATCTACGCGAAAATAATCTGAAGTGGATTCGCGTAGTAGAGTGTGATAAGTGCGATTTGTGTAGGATCGGGAGTAGCGATTTCAATTTTCCATCGATAAGTACTCAGAATATTACATCAGAAAATAATCGGGCCGATAATACACTCCATTCGACAATAGAAAAACAATGCAATCAGTACTACAACACGTCAGAAAAGGAGCGGCCGATAAATGAAAATGGAATTGAAAGAGGAGTACAGGATCTAAATAATCAACAAGTATCGACACTGATGAATACGTAAGTTAAAATTATTCTTGTGTATTGTTTAATTTAAAATATTTAATCCTGTTTTTTCTATAAATAAGCTACCTAGAACCGTGTAAGATAAGGCAGAGCATTATTAAACCGCCATTTTGTATGAGACACTACAGAGTTAGGTATATTAAAGTTAACACAAGTTGATAAGATAAAATACACTTTATCTTTGATTTGTTTACTGATCAATAATACTTAAATTACTTCCGTGTTTTGTTAATTAATACAGAACGATTTTAAAATAAATTTTTATTGATTTATTCAGGGAAAAATACAATAAACAGGATGAAATAATGTTAAGAAAATCCAATAGTTACGAAGAAAATTGTGATAAAAGAAGAAATAAATCGCTACAAAAGGTAAAAATATTATTATAATAGTAATTTTGGAAGGGTTTTTTCTCCATTAATTAATAATAAACTTTCGTTATTTATGTTACAAGTCAGCTTCTCAAGAACTGAGAGAACTGCAGACAGCCATTGAACAAGTTAAATACAGAAGGGAGGTAAATTGATATTAAAAAGAAAAGCTAATTTAATTAAAATTACAACCATTAAAAATTAGTTTCTGTATAATTTTTATTAATTCGAAACACATTAAACTTGTTTTAGTTAAAATTTCACGCCATTCTCAACTGGTGTGCCACTGTCCACTCGTTGATTGATTTACTATTAGAGAGGTTGCGGCCGACGTTTTCAACACGAAAACGTGTACGTCGGACGTTCAGCGCCGCCTTCCTGCAAGCCTAGAAGTTTGACAATGGCGTTTGGAACGCCAGTAGAATCGTGCTCGACGTTCTAAACGCCATTATCAAACTTCTAGGCTCGCAGGAAGGCGGCGCTGAACGTCCGACGTATACGTTTTCGCGTTGAAAACGTCGGCCGCAACCTCTGTATTGATAATACTTCGCAACCGGTAGGCTGCGAATCACCCGTTGAGAGTATTATATTATAAATATAAATTAAATTATACTATGTTTTTATATAGAGTGCTTCTAAACATCTTCTTCTTCTTCAAGAACTGCTGGAAGATGACAGAAAGAATCTATTTACAACGTGAGATTATTATTTTAGTGTTTAAATTAGGTATAGAAACGAAATTATTTAATACAAAACAGTAAACAGTTCTGTTTCAATGGAGCATAACGTATGAAAAATTTAATTAAAATCTAGTTTTTTTAATGTTAAAATTACCGTGGAAATATTTTATTCAAACAAATAACTTTTAATTCCACCTATTTCGCTTGTGTTTTATATATATATAGAGACAGCGAAGAAATGCAAGAAGAAAAGAACGACACGTGGAAGGATGCTGTGGTAATAAAATAATATAATAATTTTTAATTGACCTAATTATATAGAATATAATAAACGATAAACGTAAAAAATACAATAAATTATTTCAGGTCGAATCGATAGTTAGAGAGAACGACGAGTTTAAATCGAGAATCGATGAGGTTGAACATCTGAAAATTCAACTGGAAGCATCGCAAGAAGCTCTGTTTGTTTATCAAAATAAAACGGAAAATTCAATAGAAATGTTAGAAGAGGTTGGAATAAAATTTTATGAATAAAATTTTAACGTCGTATATGATATTTTTAATATAGAAAATAACATTATTTTGTATTCAGGAATTGAATGTTTACAAAGAGAAGTTGTCAACATCGGAGAAACGAAGAATAGAAGAGGAAGAAAGGAAAAGATCTTTAGAAGTGGCACTTATAGAAATGCAAAAAGAAAAGCAGAAGTTACAAATGGTACGTGAGGAGAATTGAATTGGTTAGAACGTTGTTTAATAATAATAATAAATCCTTTTTTTTATTAATAGAATTATTTAGATCTAATGGAAAATTCTAACAGTAAAAAAACCGAAGAGAAGTTAATAAAAAGTATTGAAAATGAATTAAAAATTAAAGAAGAAGAAAATATTAAACTTCGTATGGAAATATTACAAATACAAGAGGAATTATCCAAAGATAATAATCATAAAGAAATTATTATCGAAGATAAAGACAAATACATAGAAAAATTAGAAAGAAAAATAAAGGTAAGAGATATAATTAAAAGGATAAATACAATACTAATATAATCCAAATTCGCATAAAAATTTAAAAGTACAAAATCCTCACGTCCAATAATATTTTCGTGTGATATTTTAAATTTACAACCGCCGTCGCCGACTGTAAACGAGCATCTAGAACCTCGTATGACGTCACAGGAGTAGGTAAATCGTCACAGAGGTTTTTAGTAAGACACGGCGACGATACGTAGAAAGAGGTAGCTTATATAGAAAACAAGAAGACGTCGGTGTTAAATATGTGTGGATAGATTATGGAATTGAGAAGAAAGTACAAGTTATCACGCGCTTATTATGACCCAACACTGGCCCAAGTATGCTTATTACAGGACGGCAGAATATTATCAGAGAGACGTACACGTTCGATTAGAAAGCATGCGCAAGGTAGGTGTCATCGAACACGTGGAAAGTAACATTATTTGCTTCGATGATTACTTTTTGTGTAAACATAAAACGTGTTTTTACAAAATATTTTCTAATTAAATTGCCTTATTTATACATTACAATTAACTCTAATCGTTTTTAATTACAATCTAATTAATATTATTTACTTTAAAAGCTATAAAATGACTAATACAGTAGATAATTTTCGTGATGTAACTCCTTTTTTTAATGGGGATTTAGTCGAGGATATCTTTTTAACATTAAAATAGATAGATATTTTGATTGTTGTCGAGTATAAAGCCACATTCTAGCATTACGAAAGTGTACAATAACTTATATAATAATTAGATTTGTCTGTCACATTTACTAAAGCAGATTATATATGATACAGATATAGGTCATCGGTTGCATTTACACGGCATTAAATTAATTAATTTAGTAAAATTGACGTGTAAATTAATGTAAAACAATACTTTTAAACATAATATAAACTGGCATACATTATTTTATTACGTTATAACGGCTTATAAAGCTAAATTATTAGTACAAAGTCGAACCACCTATAACACTGTTGATAATTCCGTTTTATATGAATTCCACGTTGTACGAGTCACTTAGATTTTACAAATACGTGTGCCGGGCTGTGAACGGCTCGCATATTTGTAAAATCTAACTGACTCCTACAACACGGAATTCATATAAAACGAAATTATCAACAGTGTTATAGGGGGGTCGACTGGTATTTACAATAAATAAAACTCTTCTCTACCATCAAAATTAAGCTTTTTCTTTTATATTATAATAAATTTCAATTAGTTAACGCTTTGAAATCATTACCTTTTCCATCTTTGCCAAAATCAATAAACACGGAAATTACATTTTAATCCCTTGACCCCGCTATCGATTCATTTTACTAAAACCCAATTTCAATCAGATTTTATTAAATGTGGTGATTAACAAAAGAATTAAATCTTCTTTAATAATAATAATAAAATGATAAATTCTCTATTATTTTTCAGGCTCTGTCAGAGTTACAGCTCAACACAGGATGGAAGGATTTAGGAAGGACGTCGTCATCCATGTCTGCTCTTGATGAACCGGATTATACCAAAGAAGATACTAAAGTAATTTCTTTTTCTAAGTTGAATATATATAAATTTAAGGATTAAAATTTAAGGATTCTATATTAATTAAGGAAGAAAACAACACACTGGAACGACTGATACAACAATTAGAAGAACAGCAGAAAGAATTAGACACGTTAAGAACCGAAAATTTTTATCTTAAATCGAAAGTTAGAACCGTAGACTTAAATGGAGATTTAGAGGAACCATTATCTTCAGAAATTTCATCAGATATAGGAAATTCTGTAAGAAAATATTATAAACATTTAATCGTATTTCTTTTAATTATAATCGATATAAATATAATTAATAATTACAGGATCCCGAAATTACCAAAAACAACTTATGGAAACGTTTAAAAGATGCGGAAGATAAAGCTTATCAAGAAGAGAATCGAGCAGATAATCTTAATCTTCTTCTAAATCACAAACAGATCGAAATTAATAAACTTCAGTTAACTCTTTCCAGTCAAACAAAGGTAAGAAAATTACCAGTCGACCCCCCCTATAACACTGTTGATTATTCCGTTTTATATGAATTCCATGTTGTACGAATCACTTAGATTTTACAAATACGTGAGCCGTTCACAGCCCGCCACATGTATTTGTAAAATCTAAGTGACTCGTACAACATAGAATTCATATAAAACGGAATTATCAACAGTGTTATGGGGGGTCGACTGGTATAAAAAAAAAATCAATTAAATACGAACACAAAAGCAGTCACGTTTACTCGATTTTTTTAGGAATTAATACAATTGGAAAAAGCTTATTATCAACTGAGGTGTCATCTGTTTGAAACACGTAAGTCATCGTGCCCGGCACTTCGTCGAAGTTCCTCAAAGATGAACAATACCGTTTGAAGAAAGTGTAGTGTTTCATATATATTAATATATATTTAAAGGGTATTTAACATTGTTAAGGACACAGAAAACACAAGAAAGAAATAGAATTAGTCTATATTTGTGTATTTTCATATTTATGTATATAGTAAATGAATATTTTCACTTTATTATCCTGTGTATAAAAATTTATTAACCTTTTTTACGTATTCTAGAACCCGTTTTCTATAATAAATCATTCATTTTTACTACACTACTACAGCTTTAATAAGAAAAAAAAGGGTGATTGTAATGAAAGTTTGATATCATTTTTTACTTAATTATTAAACGAATTCGATAATAATTCAGGATAAATTATTAAAATTTACGATGTTAAAAGCTAATGAATTGATAAAAACGAGGAAGGAAGTGATTCTTTAAGACGAGATTGCACGGCTGTCTGTGTTAAAAGTATATATTTAGAATCAGCAAACGACATTCCATTCGTTTAATGTAATCATTTATTTATTTAAATTAACTTTTAACATAAAGGTATGTCGCGTGTTATATTTATCTATACGATTTTTACAAGGAAAATAACATTAGATTTAAGTTTTAAATTCGTATTATATATGAAAAACTTACAGACACACACAACATTTAGGTTATATATTTTTACGTGTTAGTATTGGCAACGATTCAACGAGGAAATGGTGTCAAATAATGTAAGATAAACATTAAAAACCTTTAATTTTCTTCTACGTAACGTTTATTAATACATAAAAAAAGCATAAATTCAGCTTAAATCTTCTATACAAGTCGACCCCCCTATAACACTGTTGATAATTCCGTTTTATATGAATTCCATGTTGTACGAATTACTTAGATTTTACAAATACCTATGCTGGGCTGTGAACGGCTCACGTATTTGCAAAAACTAAGTGACTCGTACAACATGGAATTCATATAAAATGGAATTATCAACAGTGTTATAGGGAGAGTCGACTGTACACTTATACTTTAAATTCTTTCATACGTTTTACACTTTAATGAATTAACACCCCCCCCTTAATATTAAGTGTTATTTTATTGTTTTCATTGTCACAAAAATAATACAATTTTTGTAGGCAAAATTCTAATTAAAATTTTATTCAATTTATTAATAGAACAGGTAAATAAATAAAGAACACACACTAAACACGTGCGAGAGAGTTTTAAATATTTAGAATTTATCGCGTGTTAAATTAGAATTAAAGATTTAAATTTGGTAGAATTTCGTGATGGATTCAGTATTCAATACTTTACGACAGACTGCTTGTTGTAGTGTTTCGGATAGCGAATCTGATGAATATTCGATTGAAAAAGTAACAGAAAATATCACTTCTACTGTTGAAAAAACTATAGAAACGACAATTATCACGTTAAAACCGAAGAAAATGAAAGCAGTGAAAGATACCAGAGAAATAATATACACAAGCGTTATGTATTTTTCTGTATTCTTCTTCATTGTCGTCATTTTTACGTGTCTCGCCATTGTGAAAAAGACTACGTGGCACGAATATGTCTTAAAGATAGATTGCTTTTCTATGGCGAATTCTTCGTTAGTAAATGAAAATAAGTGCTTAGAAAGAAGGTAAATGCTTTTATCTATTGTTAGTAGAGAGATTGCGACCGAAGTTTCCATCTGTCAAACGTGAACGTTGAACGTCAAGCGCCGCTAATAAGCGGCGCTCGACGTTCGACGTTCACGTTTGAGAGATGAAAACTTCGGCCGCAATCTCTCTATTATAACGCGTTATTTAACTTTTGTAGTTACGTAAGACGTTATAATTTGTGTAGAAAGATAATATTGTTAAACAGAAGGACTAAAAGACAAAAATAAATAATAGACTCAGGCAAAAGATGAAAAATTTTGTATAAAGCTCTTATTTTCGAAGTAGGAAGATGCATCGTTGATAACATTAGTAGGATATATATATAGAGAGAAGCCATTAAAGTTTAAAATTACAATAAACTGCTAAGGTAGGTAGCAAAAGGAACAATGAGTCGTGGATAACCATTAACGGTTTATGAGAAAGAACAGATTGATGGTTTGTGGCGATGAATGTTTGTCTTCTAGACTTACAGCGGCTATATTAAATAGTTTACAACATTACATAAGTTTTAAAGAAAGATTTTTTATTATTTCTATAAACCTGTGCTATAAGAAGTCGTGTGGCTTAATTTAACAGAAGCGTATACAGAAAGAAGAGATTCAATTGGGCTATAGAACGAATGTCACGGACTGAGAATGTGATTAAAAAAAATTTAACTCGGTGCTGATTTTTATTATTACTGGCCCACAACCCGAAATATTTTCCAAGCGTCAATGTGGAGGAAGTTCTTTAATGGTTTAACAGGAATGGTACAACACTACAGCCTCTATTAAGAAGGACCTGCTGTATCTTTTATCGATTTCGATCATGGGCGAGGGCTTCAGTTCCTCCCAAGTCGTATTGAGCATTTTCAAATCTGGAAGAAAAGTTCTACGCCAAATATTCCTGGAACGTCCTCGTGTTCGTTTGGCAACAGGGGGAACCCATTTCATGGCTGTCTTAGGGATCCTATTGTTCTCCATACGAAAAATATGGCCGGCTAATCGAACTCTTCTACGGGCAACAATGTTATGAAGCGTGCACATACCACTCCTTCGGAGAACCTCTTTATTGGTGATATGAACTAAATATCGGATCTTTAGGATTTGCTGTAGACATCTCTGTTGGAATACATTGACCATTGAGCCTTGTATTGACGTTTCCGATGTCGTCCAGGACCCATTAGCGTAAACAGTTATTGCAATCGCGATGGAGGTGAACAGGAGGAATTTGATTCTCATTTCCGCGTCACCATTTTGGGAAATAATACTAACAAAATAGGTAAATCTTCCCACTTCCTCCAATCGTTGTGCTCCGACAATTACTCCCCGCGTTTGGGCAGTGTTACAGACGTGACTTCACGGTGTTTATTTTGAGGCCAATTTTGTGTACCTCCCGACCAAATGCGGCCGTGCTAGCATTGTCTCGCTTTCTTCTAATACGGCGATATCGTCAGCAAAAACCAAGCCTCAAAGACGGCCTGGTCAAACCAGTGGATGCAGGCCCCAATGTGCGCACCGGACTCTTCTACCTGTCGCATGACATAATCAAGGGCGATGAGGAAGAGGAAAGAGGACAAGACTGCCTGCCTGACTCCCGTCGTAATTTACAAGAAGCCCGTGTGACCACCTTCAATCTTGACGTAACAACTCGAATGCAGGAATAAGGCCTTAAAAACGATGACAAAGTTTGTTGGTACACAGGTTTGTCGGTACACAGGTTTGTCGGTAATTGCAGGATTCGCCAGAGGAACTCGCGGTGAACACTGTCAAAAGCTTTTTTGAAATCGATGAAATTGATGTCCAATGGGTGTCGATACTCAACGCATTGTTCGATGATATTTCAAAGGGAGATCTGCTCGCTGCACGATCTTTCGCAGCAAAATCCAGTTTGCTACTTCCGCGAGCGCAAGCGTCGAAGGAGGAATACACAAAATGCCTTTCCAGGCACAGAAAGGAGGGTGATACCTCGCCAGTTGGGGATATCTCTCTTAGAAATTCTGACTATAGCGCCCCTTCTCCAATCCTCTGAGACCTCTCCTCAACAATAACGTTAGCTTTTCCAACATGGGCTGCCCTCCGTGCTTCAAAATCTTAGCCGTAATTTCGTCCAAACCGGCTACTATACTATTCTTTAGGCTCTAAACCACAAGTTCCACTTCCTCAGGAATAATATCACCAGTGTCCACCCGAAGCTCATCCTGTGTATCCTCAATATCGAAATCGTATATGATGGTCGGTTCCGCTTGATTGTTTACCGAAAATGTTCCATCCACCTCTTGTTCTGCTCATCTTGACTGATCATCAGAAGCCTCCCGTTTTTGTCTTTCATTGGAACGCTGGAGTTACTCCTCATCGCAGTTAGTTCATTGACTATGGGTACAAGGTCTTGAAGTCATTCCGGTCGGAAGCTTCCTGCGCTTCAGCACCCTTTCGTTCTAACCATTCCTTCTTGCCTTTCCGACAACTTTTCTTTACACATCTATCCAACTCGGTGTAAATTTGGCTTAGTTCCTCCATCTCAGCCATTGTTTTAGCATTGCTCCTTTTAAGTTTTGCGTCTTACCTCTCATCGATTAACTTCCACGAGCGATCTTGGATCCACTGATCCTTTCGTCTTCCATTGAATGTTTTGGGTGCATTCGGAGTGCACCCAAAACATGCCTCTGAGGTCCCCCAGAGATCTTGTATATGTTTTACTAAATCAAATGTGACCCGTCTGGTGACTGCCAGGTCTTCTTACGGATAACCCGATGCTGGAAGTAGATGTTCCCAATACACAACCCGTTGTGTTCACAAAACGATGTTAGCCTTTCTCCATTGTCACTCATATAAGCAGAGGACGCGTGAGCACCACAGTCTCGAGTCCTCGACGATCACCACCCAATTGGGCATTTAATTCCCCGATTAGGACCCTAGGGTCACGATTCGGTATACCATCAAAGACGTGTTGAAGGACACATCGTTGGTTGGTACATAACAGTCTCTTTGGCGTGTCCATGGGTAAAAAAACTTAAAGTGTTTTCGAAATAATTTATTTCTTAAATTACGGTTTTATTATCTTTATTAAAGTGTAAAGTTTAATGGAATTAACATTATTGATGTCCATATAATTTAATCCAATATTTGTCCATCAATATTTGCGTAAGGATATATTCCATTTGTTTTAAATTACGTACGACGTCACACTCAATACATCTAAATGCCATTTTCATTAATACAAAAGAAATTAATTAGTTTTCAATAACTTTATCCGTAGATAGACATAGAGTTTTATTGTTATATACTAACATTATAGACAAGTGTTCCTTTATAATTATATATACATATACCAGTCGACCCCCCTATAATACTGTTGATAATTCCGTTTTATATGAATTCCACGTTGTACGAGTCACTTAGATTTTACAAATACGTGTGCCGGGCTGCGAACGGCTCACGTATTTGTAAAATCTAAGTGACTCGTACAACGTGGAATTCATATAAAACGGAATTATCAACAGTGTTATAGGGGGGTCGAATAAAATTTGAATTATAAAATCTGCTTCCCAAAAGTCTATTTATGGTCAAAATTCATCTCGTCTACCACAAATTAAACAGTTTAAATACAATAAACTGTATAATAAGCCAAGTGACAAGAGGATATCCCACCCTTTTAATATAATATCCGTTATAAAATTTGATTTATCTCTCCATTTTATTCCATTGTTTATTTATCAATATACCATTTTTCTTTGTCGTTAACTCAGGTGTATTATTCTTTAACTGTATTCTTCTAAAGAAAAAAAAAGGAACCATTTGTTATTAATTCATCTTCCACTTTTCACAATTGAATATCGACTTTTACAACACATTTTTTTTATTTATTTATTTATGCGAGTTCGTTTGTCTGTTCGTTAGATAATGACATAAATGTTGGTAGAAGATTTGCGTTATTTCCTTTTCAGGTGTTCTAATACGTTTTGTAGCTTTTGTATTGGACAAAAGGAAAGATTTCTTTCATAAATGATAGATATTTTTCTATTTTAAAGTATTTATTTATTAGATCGAATCCAATTTTGGATCCACATAAGTCTAAAAGTATATATACAAAGTCGACCCCCCTATAACACTGTTGATTATTCCGTTTTATACGAATTCCATGTCGTACGAGTCACTTAGATTTTACAAATACGTGTGCCGGGTTGTGAACGGCTTATGTATTTGTAAAATCGAAATGACTCGTACAACATGGAATTCATATAAAACGGAATAATCAATAGTGTTATGAAGGGTCGACTGTATATATATATATATATGAAATCCAGCAAGTTGTATAACTTTTCCGGCCACAGATTTAAAGTTGTTGGTGGCGTCATCTGTTGAGAGATTTTATTAAATAACTTTTTATATTATTAATTATTATAAAATTCTAATTAAAAAGAAAAAAATAGGGGTTGTTTTTAAAGGTATTTTCTGCTTAATCCTCTCCTCTTCCGCATCCTTAAAAGATGGATAAATAAATCTACTGCCAAATAAATTACTTATATATAACAATACTTTAATTGTAATAGAATTTAATTAAATAAATTGCTTTCTTAACTTAATTACAATCAATTACAGTATTAAAACTACGAACAATTACTTTAAGTAGAAATTTTCATTTAGAAAGCACGTACAGTACTTTTAAGGGAGGAAAAGTAACAAAATTATGATACTAAAAATAGGGGTGTTTAATTAAATAATATTTTTAAACGTGTAGAAACGTTTAAACTGAATTACACAACATTTCCTAGATGTAATTTTTGATAAAATAAATCAACAATTCAACAATCCCATCGATAAATAACGACGAATCGACATTCGTTACTGCTTATAAATTCGGATATGTCCCATTAAATGCGAATTCCAGACGAAAATTCACAGCAGAAATGGGGTCAAAAGGTCAATTTCTAATTACCAGACACACAAATATACGTTTCCACCCCTTATTTAACACTTAATTAACGATAAATCCTCTCGAAAATCCTCCTCTCTTGCATTCGTTCGAAGAGAGGAATCATTTTAACTCAAATTTCCCTCGGAAATTCCTACCAAACAGAGGTTAAAAGGTCATTTCTCAATACCTAAACACATATTAAGCGTTATATAAGAGTGAAAAGTTATAAGCATTAAAAAAATGAACGGTATCGAGTTACGATTCGATAGTTTCATTTGAATAAATGACGTTATGGCCTAGGTATAGAATAACTGACGTCATAACATCGTTCATCCTCTATCTAAAGTCGATTGCAAAACAGTTTACACTATTGAAAAATATCGTAGAAACAGGAACGACGCTGTGTGATTACGTGTAATGGTAGTACTGTGGACCCGTCGGCCTTGAAGGGAGACATAAAGTGCAACAAGATGGAAAGGGAACGAGTTAAAAAATTAATCTGTACACGTTGGTTTATATTTTTAACATTCGTAGTGATCGCTCTTACTGGTTTAATAACCGCAGTCGTCGTTTACGAGGTTTACAAACACAGGAATCAGTTTAAGGTCAATTGTTTGCCCGACGTTCCCCTTAATTACAACACGTGCACCGAAAGGAAGTAAGTACGATTTTTAGTGTTTAATATCGTCTCAATGTGTTTTCTATTACTTATACAATACAGTTAAGTGTTTCTTTTTGTGTGTTTTAAATGTGTTTCCTATTCGGAACTCCTCCCTGTTAAATCTGTTTTGTAGATTAGATTATTGTCCTTTCCTGTGTAGTGCGAAAGGTTAAAAAAACACACTTAATACGGGTGATAACTACGTATTGAATTTATTAATCATTTTCGTGATAAATTAATTGATTAAAGTGTAAATTTATCGCAAAATAATTGTTTTACTTTGTAAGAAGACAGTATTTACCCTCGTTTTTCAAAGATGGAAGCATTTATTTCTATTGAAAATTCACACAGGGTGATCAATACACACTGCACACTTATATCAAATACAATACAGAATAGACCTAAGTAAACAATGATTTTTAATAAATTTTGATGAGTGTAAATGATAACGAGAAATTATTTATTGTAACATCATTCTTTAACTCATTAACGAAGGACAAAACACATAAACAGACCAACAGTGGGGGTGTTAATAAATCACCCTTATATAATAGAAAAAAAATGACCATAAAAGTTCTTAGAAACTATCATCCCCTAGTCCATTCACACACACTACTGTATTATACATACACTTGAGTAATAGGTGATAACGTTTGTATTGTTTTCATCTATCCATTATCTGATCCTATAGTGTTTCTATATTATCAAATAATACTAGAATTTATTATAATTTTTTTAAACAGGTGTCTATGGTTCAGCAGCGAAGTTCAGGGTGAACCTCAATGCTTCTTCCCAATTGGTTACGGGTATAAATTAAGAGGAAGAGCCAAATCGACTAAGAAAGGAAAAGAAGTTTTCTTGGATAAGAAAGAAGATTCGTTTTCTGTGTTCAAAAATGAAGTGAAGTTCTTAAAATTAACTCTCGATTACGAAACTAGAAGCAGAGTTCATTTCAAAGTTAGTTATTCTTTACGAATTTTATAATAGAATAATGCTATAAATGAACAAAATATAAATGTATCCGAAGGAATGAGTGTATAAATGCTACCCCAAATCAGATCAAACACCTATTCGAGAACATAGAACACGTGTAACTTGTTAACAGGTAAACAAGTGTTCGAGATAATGCTATTTTTATACCTTTTCGAATTGTAGTAACTGTGGTATTTCTAGAGAATAACGTCAGAAAGTTCAATTCTACATTCCCTCGAGTGATATGACAAGATATGAGCCATTACGGCTTATCTAAATCCACGTGTAACGAGTCAATGGACGTTTTAAATGCCTGAAACTTTAACGATTTAGTTTCTATCATTACAACTCAACGTCTTAGATAATTTCGACAATAATTTAATAACAGCAAGCTCTACCGCTACTCGAAATCTACGGTATAACGGGAATAAAAACACGTAAAATCGAGTTATTGTATATACCAGTAGACCCCCCTATAACACTGTTGATAATTCCGTTTTATATGAATTCCATGTTGTACGAGTCACGTAGATTTTACAAATACGTAAGCCGTTTACAGCCCAGCACACGTATTTGCAACAATTAAGTGACTCGTACAACATGAAATTCATATAAAACGGAATTATCAACAGTGTTATAGGGGGGTCTACTGGTAATACATTGTACAAATACAAATGACACGCTTTATCTTTATAAAAAAACAAAGCATCGCAACTCCGTTACGTAGTTCGAAGACTGTTTTGACGTTTAAAAAAGTGTAGTTCTAGTCATTATTACACTTTATCGTGTTGATAATGATGTCAATCTTCTTGTTATTTACGTTACAGTATCGTGTTCCTGCTTAATCATTCAAAATTATCGTATCTTATATCAGTTTTAGTGTAAAAATAAAAGATCCTTTCGTGATAGAATACAAAGTTTATATCATAATAATTAAATTTTTAGGTAATAAAATAAAGGAATTCTTCTGTTTTATATTTAGATTTTCGATCCGGACAGTGTTAGATACGAAGTTCCTGTAGAATTAACACCATCAACGGGGACACCGAGTATAAGAGATTACGAAGTGGATTTTGTTAATGATCCACAATTTGGGATTCAAATTAAAAGAAAATCGACGGGGACGTTAATGTAAGTGACATTTTGTTAACGATACCAGCGTATTTCAAACTTTTCAATGTATTTTGTTCTAATTGGAACCAATTCCAGTTAAGTGTTCGGCATTAGTAATCAAAAATAAACGATCATCTTCGACAATAATAACACTACAAAATAACTGGGAAATTGGCTTTGCATAGGGGATATTGTGGCTATTTGTTTTCCATAGCTGCTTCTTCCTCTCTTATTAATGAAGTCATTACTGAAATTTCTAAAACACTTAAACTCACTTTAAATACACTCGTAGATGTACCTGTTACTCTTTCTCCTGACACCACTCGTATTCGCCTTGATCCCCCAATACAGAACTTACTACTCTTTCTCTACAGATTATTCAAGGTCCATTGTAAATGCCCAAATAACCTATTAGGCCTATATCTTGATTTTTATGTGTTTAAAACTTTAAACTAGTAAAAAAACACTTTGTATGTATTTTAAGTTTAAACTTAGCTAAGAAAAACCATTTTAAATGCATTAATATTGTGGTAAAACAATGTTACAGTTTCGACACCGATACTCCGGGAACTGTTTTTACCGATCAGTTTCTACAGATGACAATTAAATTACCTAGTTCTAACTTATACGGACTGGGAGAACATAAAACTACGACTTATAAACACGACACTAACTGGAAGAAGTGGACTTTCTTCGCTAGAGATGAACCACCCGTGGTTAGTATACTTTATACACTATACGGAGACATCCAAAATGAACGTCACCATTGTAACTTACACACTTAGAGTAGAGATAGAGTAACTATCAGAGTTTCTTCTTGCGTGTTGAGGAATTGTAATGGACTAGTGTTAAATTTGGACAGTTTTCCCGGTGTTGTTTCTTTACGAATAACGTAATCACAATAGTTTAAAAATGGTGACATTCTTTTCGGAAGATCCCGTGTTAAGTTAACTGTGAAATAAAGATGTAATTGTCTTATCTTTACAGGCTTATAATAATTTGTACGGTGTTCATCCTTTCTATATGATAGTAGAACGTGACGGAAATGCTCACGGTGTCTTTTTTCTAAACAGTAACGCAATGGGTAAGTATACATTAATGTAGAGAAATCTTCTTATATTTTTAAGGTCTTTTATGTGTTAATAAATGATCTTTTTTTTTAACTGTAATCGCCCACCTCTTAATTTTAGAATTTCTGGAAAAGGGACATTTCCAAAACAATATAAATAAAAAGCAATAGTAAATAGAAAACTTACCATTGTGAATCGTGATAAAGAGCAAAAGATATAACCGTAAACGTTCTCTATCCCAAACCATTTTTCTTTATCAAGCTTGTCGTACGATTGACATTTATTATTGTCATTTACCGTGATCTAAAACAGAAAACCGAAGAAATATTATAAGGAAAGATAGAAATATTAATTATTAATCTGTTGATATACTACGTAAGAGTTACAAATGAACGAAAACACCCTCCTGAATGTTGATGATACGCACGATACATCACGGAGTAACCAATTTGTGTACATCTAATTAACGGTCGTTAAGACAATTAACGTATACAACCGACTCGAATATTATCACGAAAGTTAAATAAGTATATAGGGTGGTCCAAAATTCAGTTAACTCGAGCTCTTCTACTTGTAAATACGAATTACCAGGCGAGTTTACAACAACAATAGTAGTACAGTTCCTTACGAAACAATACAAGTTTAGTTATTACAATGGTTAACTGACTTTTGGACCACCCTGTAAGTTAAATTTATAAACTTATTATTATTACTTTTTTAAACTATTCATTGTATAGAAGTAACTATTCAACCACATCCTGCCATTACTTTCCGTAGTAGCGGAGGGATTTTTGATTTTTACGTATTTATGGGTCCTACTCCCGAAGACGTGGTCAAGCAATACTTGCAGGTACTGAATGATTATTATATTAGTATATTATTATTAATTAAGAACATATAAGTTTAATACGTATACGCGAATGTAGTTAATAGGTTTTCCTATGTTTCCTCCATATTGGAGCCTGGGATTTCAGATGTCAAAATGGGGTTACGGTAACGTTACATACGTTAAGGACATTATACAGCAGACAATCGATGCAAACATACCTATGGTGAGTAATAAATATATAAATTTTAATACCTGCCAATTAATTTTATATAATTCCCTTTTGTATTTCGACGAAGGATGTTCAATTTTTCGATATCGATTATATGGAAGGTAATAGAGATTTCACATACGATGCACAGAAATTCGGAGATTTACCATCTCTGGTCGATTGGTTACACTCGAAAAATATGAAAATAGGAATCATATTGGTATATATATTTAGTATTTTTTACATATAAAGTATTATATTTTCAATAACTACAATAAAAAATGTACTTAATTTAGGATCCAGCAATCGGCAGTGATGACAGTTTGCTCGGTAAATATCCTCCCTTAGATGATGGTCTCGAAAGAGATATATTTGTCAAAAATCGTACCGGAGCCAATTTACAAGCTAAGGTACTGTATATACACTATACACTGTTATATAACAGAGGAAAGTACAGTAGACCCCCCCTATAACACTGTAGATAATTCCGTGTTATATGAATTCCATGTCGTACGAGTCACTTAGATTTTACAAATACGTGAGCCGTTCACGGTCCGGCACACTTATTTGTAAAATCTAAGTGACTCGTACAACATGGAATTCATATAAAACAGAATTATCAACAGTGTTACATGCCAGTCTCAAAATTTATTGTTGTATATATTTATGTATATTAATTCTTAATTTACAATAATATTTATGTAGGTGTGGCCAGGATTAACTTATTATCCAGATTTTTCCAAACCACAAACCGAAGAATATTGGTTCAAACATTGCAACGATTTCCATAAAATAGTTCCTTACGATTGCTTATGGATCGTAAGTTAATAATTTTTACAAAATTTAAGTATTATTTGTATGTATTTTAATTTTCTAATTATTTAACAAAAGGATATGAACGAACCATCCAGTTTCGCTGATGGTTCCGTGTACGGATGCGAAAAGAATAATTTGAATTACCCTCCCTTCACTGCAAGTAAGATTCGTTACACTTTCGTAACGTTTTAACAATACCAAGATAGCCCAAAACCGTTTAAAATATCGTACAGTTCGGTAAACTAACTTTTGGGCCACCTTTTATTTAAACAAATCATCACAAAAAATTATAATTATTTAGATGTTTTGGGGTCTAAGAAAGACGGAAGAATCTTCGAAAAGACGATATGCATGGATGCAGAACAACACGTAGGAAAGCATTACGACGTTCATAGTTTATACGGTTATTATCATTCTAAAGTAACTTACGGGTAAGAAAAAATATATTAATATACACAAATATTCATAATATAACACATAATAACTTATACATACGCGTGCTTGCTTTTAATAAAGTACCCTGACGAAAATACACGAAGGAAAACGCCCAATGGTGCTGACTCGATCTACCTTTTCGGGAAGTGGCAAATACACGGCTCATTGGTTGGGCGATAATTTAAGTTCTTGGACACATCTAAGAGATTCTATACCCGGAATACTCGAATTCAATCTCTTCGGCTATCCTTTAGTAAGTGTTTCTATTTATAATTCTTTAAAAGAATATGTTCGTATTACGAAAGATATAAAACTTAGATAGGTGCAGACATTTGCGGTTTCGAAGATAACACTACGGCTTCATTGTGTGCTCGGTGGTTTCAGTTAGGAGCCTTCTATCCGTTTTCTCGAAATCATAACGGATTTTATTGTATTGTGAGTATATTTTACGTAATTAGATAATTTGTACGAGAACAATTGACGGAAATTTTATCATTTTTAGCCACAACATCCGACTGCTTTAGGTAACTTAGTTGTTAAAGCAGCCAAACAGGCACTAACGACTCGTTATACATTGTTACCTTATCTTTATACGTTATTTTATTACGCACACGTGGAAGGTTCTACGGTGGCACGTCCACTGTTACACGAGTGAGTTTAATCTCTATATCTATAAAAGGAATTTATACTGAAATTATAGAAAGATAATTTACAGATTTCCGAAAGACAAGAATACTTGGGATATTAATTTTCAGTTTCTCTGGGGTGCTGCTCTTTTAATTTCTCCAGCAGTTTATGAAGTGAGTTTTGTTGGTAAAATTTGAAAAAAAATTTTTTGATATTATTAGTAAAAATTCATCGATTTTGTTTTGTTTTTTTCAAGAAAGAAGACAAAGTTTTCGCTTATTTTCCTGCTGGTGTTTGGTACGATTTTTATACGGTAAGATTGATGCAAAATTAGGTAAATCGGATGAAGTGTTTCTGTGTTAATTTAAAGACAGAAAATATACAAAATGTTTAGCTTGAAAGTGCCAGTATTTTCATCAAAACAAATTTGCACCAGGCAGATTAATTAATATGCATCAATGTCCTTAATTCAACTAGTTATTCTTTTAACCACCATAACAGTGTATTTCTATTAATAGGACTTATTATACTGGTGTATAAGATTATAGCAACTCAGTCACACAGATTAAAATTGTTTTATTTACAATTACCTGTACAGATAATTGTAAATAAAACAATTTTAATCTGTGTGACTGAGTTGCTGTAATCTTATACACCAGTATAATAAGTCCTATTAATAGAAATACACTGTTATGGTGATTAAAAGAATAACTAGTTGCACCAGGTATAATTTCCCAGTATTTTCATCAAAACAAATTTGCACCAGGCAGAATTTCCCAGTATTTTCATCAAAAACAAATTTGCACCAGGCATAATTTCCCAGTATTTTCATCAAAACAAATTTACACCAGGCAGAATTTCCTAGTATTTTCACTTGTTATGCAAAACATTTCCACGTTTGCCTGATTATAAATTAATTTTTCAAAAAATACTACCATTTTTATANGTCTGCAAAGTCCTGTTTGTCCATCTAATGTATATCTTGTTTACCCTCTTTCAAAGTGTACGTTTTATACGTTATCCGACGTAGAAATCTTATAAACATTCCATTGATCCTGTAGAAAAAGAACAGAGAAATTTTATGGACCAGATTCGTGTGCGATACTCTTTACCATGGTTCCATGGTTGATACTTTGATGGCCCCCAGAGCTGACGTTTATTACATTTTGCCTCATTTATAACCTTTTATGAAAGTATAACTTGTGTATTCCGGCTTTTAGAAGATTTTTTAAAAATCTCTGTACAGTTTCTGCTTGCTTGAAATTATCAGATTACCGAGTAAAATGTAGTAGATCTTTTGCATAAAATGGGTATTGAGCGTAAATAAAGCATAAGATACAGAAATTATGCTAGAAATACGAATATTCTTCAACCCCATAGAAAAAAATACTGTAGGAATATCCGTATTCCATCACCCTTAAAAAACACTCCCTTCTTAACTTAAATTCGAGTATATTTTCGTGTTTTTCGGTCAATAAATGTAATACAGTAAATCTTAGTTACTAAGACTATTGTTTTCATCACCCTTACCCCTTAAAAGCTGGAGTAATTCCGGGCCCAAACAGCTAGTAGCGTATAAAAAATACAACATAAAATATATATAAATTACTCGAAAAATAAAGCAGAACATTAATAAAACATAATGTTATGTCTTCTACTTGCATAAAATTACATAAACACTTGAATTTTTATTTTTATATTATATGATTTTATACGTAAGGTGATTTTATTTAAGGTGATTTTTTTATGAAAGGAAGTTTACGTATAATCTAAAAACACGAGACACTCGCGCTTTTTTAGACGGTGTAGAGTAAGTGGGAAGTGTAACAAATTAACCTAGTTTGACATTCCCCTGGAGGTGCGACCTGATTTCTATACCTTTTTTTTCCGGATACGATCTTTGTTTTGGTGTTTTTGGAAAGTTAAATGTATAAATTTAGTCGTGACAATTACCAATGATCGACGTCCTGTGATTGAAAGCCAATTGTTCTGTATATTTATACCTGAAAATCATATGTTTTATTTAATAAAAATGGATAAAACTAGCGGAAAATAATTAAATAAATTAAATCTAAAAAGTCATATTTTTTAGAAGACAAAATAACAAAACAAACTGTGTTTCTGTTAACGGTTTACAATTGTTTATTTATAACACCACCACCACCACCACCACGTGATAATCGCCGCATCCTTTTCTTCTCGAGATCGTAACACATTCGTACACACACAAACACGCAAAGGAGTATAACAATTAATTCGAAACACGCCGGTATTTATATATTTAAAATTTCGATTTGAAAATTTAAACACGCACTATTGGCTAATTTTCTGCAGTTAGTCGAAAGGGTGTGTCTATTTATTGTACCTAGTGTCCTTCGAGTCACCACAACACGGGAGAGAAGTAAGCGTCAGACACGACAGACTTAATTTAATTAACATTAAAAGTGGGTAAGAGGACGAAACTAATTTAAAAATTCTCTTTTGTCTTCTCAGTCAGACACCGGGCCGTGTTGAAACTTTTAATGTTTTTTTATTATTATTTTCTTTCCTAATTAATTAATTAATTAATTAAATTACTATTAAAGCGTAGTAACACGGGAGAAAGATTTCAGTCGAGGTGTGTGTGTGTGTGTGTGTGGATACGTGTGTAAACGTGAGGCTGGCGTATGAGCTCGTGCGGTCTTTATAGTGGCGACCCACCCTCGTAGGTGATGAGACAGACCCTGCTTTTCGGGCTCGGGAGTCTCTGCTACTGGCAGCTACATCTTCACTACACACACGATAACGCAAACGTCTGGAAACGGGGAGAGACAGACAGACATGCAACTCTATCCTGAAGTCAAACTCCTCTTCCTACTCCAAAGGTAAGTGGAATTCATTTCGCATCACCTTCCAGTATTGTTAAACGTTTCTTAAAACGTCAGCTTGTGTATAATGCGCACCCCGTAGATACGTAAATGATAAATTTAACGGCATTTTTTTTGGATAGGGAGACGAGGGAGAGGGAGAGAGAGAGGGGGGAGAGGGAGAAACACACGAAAAACTTTTCTCGTGTTTAGATTTAACTACGCTTGCTAACGTTACAAGTTGGAGATTTGTTATATTCCACTTGATCAATATGAAGATACGTTATGTCAGGTGCCGGTTGCGGTAGATTATATCAGATATTTTTCGATTTAACGCCGGTTGCAATTTGTTAAATGGAGGTTAACGAACCTGTAAATAAAGGAATGTGTTTAAGATTCGAATCGACCCCTTTTTTATGTTACGTTTTAGCGTTTTTTTTTATTTTGGATGACATACTTTATGCGTGTTCTCCTTCAGATGTCATTAGTGAATCTTCAGCTGGCATTCTTTTTAAGTATCAGTAGAAATACATCATTTATTTTTTGGGATATCATTAGAGAATATACCTTGTTTACGTTTTCGGATAATGCAGAAGCGTATCATTTCTCATTTGACATTGTTATAGTATACAATTTAATTTATTACGTGTCATTAGATACCTTTTGATATCGTTATAGAGTAAGCAATTTATTCTTTCAGATATCATTCGAATTTAAATTTTGAGGATATACTAAGACGCATATCCATTAGAAGTATTATATATCATTCAGATTTTTGTATATCACTAAAGGAAAAGATTAGATATAATTACCGCAGATTTATAGTTATTATTGGGATATACACGATTTCGTACCAACTTAAATCTTCGGATATCATTAGTGCATGCTATTTAATTAAGTCTCTTATATAAGAATATATCCGTCGATATCTGTATATTCCAATTTAAATCTTGAGACATCATTAGAATTATAGGACTTTAGATATCAGTAGAAATATATCATTTACGTTTCCGGTTAGTAATGGAAGTTTGCCATTTACGTGTTCAGATACGGTTAAAATTATGTCATTTACATTTACAGATATCGCCGACATCTCATGACATACTTTAAATATATATTTTCAGATATCATTAAAGAGTATGCCATTTACATTTTACGTGATCAGTTCGACCATCGCTTCTGGCATAGGAATCATTTTCAATGGTTACATACTCTTTGTATTGTTATGGCACAGAAGTCTACAAACGGCTAACAACGTGCTGTTACTACATTTAGCCTTTGTGGATTCGTTTTATTGTGTTGTGATCTTGGTATCGAACTCGGTCGTCGGTTCGTTTGTAGATTCTACAATTTGCAACGTGTTTGGATTCGTCTGGACTCTACTACCCACCGTTGTGGTATGGACCGTATGTGGACTCAGCTGTGACAGATATGCGGCCATATCGTCACCCCTACACTATTCTAGACTCGTCAACAGCAGGAAGGCAGTATATTTCGCGGCAGTATCGTGGTTTTTGGGTTCAATTCTGGCCGTTCCACCCTTTATAGGAATCTGCCATTACGATTACAGGGATTCCAGACTGTACTGCTCCGCATCCTGCACCAGTGGTAACGTGTTCGAGACCAGTTACGTTATCGTCTACACCGTCATATCTGTGATTTTACCATTACTAATCATCCTGATCTCCAACTTGCACATACTCATGATTGCCAGATACCATAGGCACAGGATCGTCTCGGCCATATACGAAGTAACACTACGAGCTCAGGCAACGGTAACGCATCAACGTAACCCGTGCTACTTATCGAAATTCAAGGGAAGGAATGCTTTTTTGACTATTTTACAACTAGTCGGATCCCTAACCATTTTCGCGCTACCATACTTCATCATTATGGTATGGGAGGTGCTGTCTTGTAGTTTTGCTGAGCCCAATTTAGTGGCAACGGTTACTGTACTTCTAACCTGCATGCCACCCGTTAACGCATACGTGTATGGTGTCAAGAGCAGAGTCTTGAGGCAGACACTAAAAATACTACTACAAAGACACCTGTACAAGAAAGAAGCCACGCGAGAAGTCAGGAGGAGATTAATAGTGGCACCACTTAATCTATCCAGAAGGTATTCTGTACCATCCAATACACAGGTGACTACACCGAACACGAGTACGGCAAATACATGTGAGAAGAGATTAGACAGAAGATTAAGTCTACCGGATAGCAAAAATGACGTAAAAGTATCGACTGTAAGTAAAATCAAGCTTCCTACCTGTGACGAAGAAGTCAGAAACGACACGGAATGCCTTTAAGAATATCCAAAAAAAAAAAAAAAGAAAATTCAAACATAATCATGCTTATGGGTGCTACATGCGTTACGTGAAGATTCTACACACTTAAATCTAACAAAAAATTCACCCCAAATAATTTCAAGTTCAAACATTCCTTCGTAAGCATTAAATTTCAAAAGAGTTTCTTTGAAAAATGCCTCAAATAAATGCTAAATTACGTATAATGTGCTTTCAAATGGTCTTTTTTTGATCCTATTGTATATATATACATATATATAAATTATGTATTTATAAAGTATGAATATATATATATATATATATAATTTGTTAGGTAGTATGCCGAATATATTGTGCCATATAATAATATATATATATATGTAACGTTTTATCAAAAATTTACAAATTTTTTAGTGTATCTGTCTGTCTGTCTGTCGACTCGAATGGGGGTATTTATCACGAATATAAAACGTTATACAGGATTTTATTTGTGAGGAAAACAGAGTACCGTTTTGTTTGATTTATATACAAACTCTACGGGGTTTATTTCGATATTTTAAATGATAACGAATCGTGTAAGTAGCAATAGTAAGGTATAAAATAAATATTTAGCTTACTTTTTAATAAAACTGTTGAATAATTGATGGTGAGGGAGTGATTTTTTAAAAGATATTTAAATTAATTTTTGGAATGTCGTTATCGAAAAATTAAAATTATACCAAGAAAACGAATCGGTGTAAATGAGATGATAAATATATATATATATTTTATATGTTTTAAATACAAATTAAACAGCAAGAACAAGATTTTTATTTACGTTTTTTGATAAAAATGATGTTTTTCTTTTTGTTAAACACTGCGAATGAATATATATATATATGTATATATATATTTATGTAAATATGGTGTTTATTGTTGTTAACTTTAAATAAAAAAAATGAAGACAAAAAACACAATTGTCTTTTTTTAATTGTGTTGTTTTAGAATCTCTTTACGCTAGAGAATAGCAACGAGTTACGTAATTGATGATGTCACACTACCATCACACACGAGAAAAAAGCGCGTAATAAATTGGCGATTAAGCTAATCCCTAGGAGCATTTTTAGAAGGGAGGAAGGAGAGTGACGTTGTAAAAGAAAAAAATTCTATTTTTATCTACAAAAATGGGGCTAACTCATCAGTTCGATTCAAACGCGAATTTTTTTGGGGGAGAATCTCTCGTGTCTTCTCGTGTTCTTTACAGACGTAGACGTTCAAGATCAACATGGAAGGACATTGATCCGTTTTCTTAGCAAACGTACAAAAAAACTCTGAAAAACACGTAAAGCGTATTCATGGATGTAATCACTTAAACATCATCATCGTCATCCCTAAATGCTTAATACATTTTCCAAAAATACAAGAAGATAAAGATGATTAATGAGCTATTTTCACGACAGCTCTTATTGTTCTCTATTATATTTTAAATTCTTCTTTTCCCCCCAAAAAAACAGGAACGTTTAACAGCTAAAAATGCATTTATTCCTCCAATAAAACAAGTTATTTTTGTATAGGAAAAGTAAATAAAACTCTATTTTTTTAAAGAAATTTATTAACTCCACGTAAGTTCGAACCGAAATTTGGTGACAGCAAAATGTACACGATTATTTTGGAATGCAAATTGTAGAACGATAAATACCCACTGCCTGTCTGTCTGTCCTTACTTAATCTCGAGAATCGAGTTAATTAAATGAAAGATTAGACGAGATATGAAAACCATACTTATGGGAGGCACACATTAACTATATAACAACTTCCTGTTTGCATCGGAAGTCACGTCATTTCAATTCAAATATTCCCCGTTAACCCGCACGACTCTATTGTTAAAGGCAAAGCATGATGTACAGGGGCAAGCCACTACTAATTTAAGATGGAGAGCATATATATTAAGTTAAATAAATTAAAAATACGATTAAAAATTGCGGCCCGGAATTGCTACGACATCACAATAAATGTTTGTTGTATTATTTTTTATTCGTTTAAATTTCAAATTTGATTCTTTAGATTTGATTTTATAGATAATAAAAAGAAATTATTTAAATTTTGCAAATATTATCACGAAAATACTTATTTTACATACATAAACCGGCACTGAAATCTACAAAATTACCCTAAAAAATCTACGAAAATACCCCAAAAAATCTACAAAAATACCATAAAAATCTACAAAAATACCCTAAAAATCTACAAAAAATACCCCAAAAAATCTACAAAAATACCATAAAAATCTACAAAAATACCCTAAAAATCTACAAAAAACTACCATAAAAATGTAAAAAATACCCTAAAAACCTACAAAATACTCTAAAAAAATCTACAAAATACCCTAAAAATCTACAAAAATACCCTAAAAATCTACAAAATACTCTAAAAAATCTACAAAAATACCCCAAAAAATCTAAAAAATAGCCTAAAAATCGAAAAAAATTGCATTTTTTAAGATAATTTTTTTGGATATTTTAATATTTGCAACACGTTAGTCGCAAGCGGTATGAAATATAATAATAATAGAGAGAGAAAAATGTAAATATTTAATTTAATCACATGATATTCACACAGTTGTGTATACCATTACCTACCTAAGTGTTGACATATCACATAGGAAAGCAAATTGGAATCTTCTGTATTATTATTTTTCCCTTCTAAAAAACCTCTAGATATTTGCCTCTTACTTCTTAAAAGAACGAAAAAAAAAAAAATTCTTTTTCCTCTTTTTTTATTCTGAAATGTTGGAAAAATACATATAAATTTAAATATTCATTTTATATATAATTTTCCACTTATCTACTAGTAAAATTCTCAGATATTTTAAAGAGAAAGTCTAAATCAAAGATACTTTTTAATAAATAAATTAATTAATTAATTTCTTACATTAAAGCAATAAAAAATTTGCTTTTTTTGGACTTTATTGACTTAGTTTCTGCTTCAAAAATCCTCCAAAATTAAATGGAATAAAAAGAAGAATAAGATAATAAATAATATTTTTTCTATTAAAGTGTTTTTAACTTCCTTTCTTATTAAAAAAAAGGACTTTAAAGAGAACAGTTCAATGTTATCAATTCCGAAATTAAATTTTTAGATTGGAAATTCTAGAAAAAAAAACACGGTTTTTCCTTTACTTTATATAAAATCTTACAGAAATATGAAACTTACTTTCTATATAAATCCATTATAAACGTAATTTATCATAAGAACGTTTTAGAATATATATATATATATACATATATATATAAAAAGCAGGGAATTTTTTTAAAAAAGTACTCTAAAAAAACAATAAAAGTAAAGTAAATTTTAATATGTAAATGTGTTTTATTTGTGAATACTTTTCTTGTATTTATCAAAGAATATTGACAATAACATTTGTATTTTCTTGGATGGTCTGTGTGTGTGTGTGTGTGTGCATTTAGAAAAATTATATTATACGTATTATTTCATTTTGTAAATGTGAAGTGTATATTTTTATTTCTTGTCTTTTTTTTTCCCTCCCAATTATTAAGCACTCCTGTCTATAAAAAGGTATAAAGAAAATCGTAAATTATTTATCAGAAATATATTTTTTGTTGTTGTTTCTATTGTTTTAGAGTAGTGTTTTGTATTAATTGAGATAATTTTTGCTTTTTTATATTGTGTTTTGCTGTTTTTTTGGAATTTTACCTCCTGCTTTTTTCATTTGTTTCGGTGTTCTTATGTTATTTTGTTGTTTAAAATAGTTTTTTGATGATTTTTTTTTGACAATTTTATTAGCCTTAAATAGTTTTGATGTTTCCAGAATGTCTTTTTATCGTTTTAAATAACTTTTTTGACTAATTTTTGCTTCTTTTTGGACGTTAATTTTAGCTATTTTATTTTATTTTCTGCTATTTTTGGATTTGTATTGCGGTGATTTATACTGTTTTAAATAGTTTTTTTTTATGATTTTAAGATATAATTTTGCAATTTTATTTGCTTTAAATAATTTTCTGACGTTTACAGAATGGATTTTTTGCTGGCTTTTTACTAACTTAAAAAATATTTTGAATTTTAATTAATTAATTTGAGTTTTTACGTTGTTTTCTTTATTTTTTAAAAAATGTTATTTTACCTTTTATTCTCTTCTATTAAACAATAAAAGCAGGTTTACAGTTTAAAATTTGTGTTCTGTAAATAATTATTTTTATCATTTTAATAAATTTTGGACATTAAAGTTAATGTTTTTTTTATTTTTTTACTGAACAATTTTATTATATATATTTTTTTGATTTTTAATGTAAGAGCTGTTATTTTTATTTCTACTTTATAATGGAATCTTCTATTTGTTTTAAGTAAGAGAAAAACTAAAGTTTTCTTCTCATCAAATAATATAAAAGAAGAATCACGTTTCAAGAAAGAAAATATAAAACAACAAATTTGTGATTAAAACCAAAAATAAAATAAAACTAAAATTGTTTTTTTTTATTTTATAAAAAACAATTAAAAAATTAATTACTTATTTATTATTTTTTAAATATTTAGTAAATAAATCAATATGTAATTATATTTTATGAATGAACGTAATTAATTTACATCAAAATATTTATTTAAATTCCGAAAATAATAAATTTATTGGTTGTTTTTAATACTATTTTAACGTATTTAGCGAGTGTAACGAGTGGCATGTATTAAATAATTTATTATATTTTATAAGTAAATATAATTAATTTATAATAAACAGCGTGATAAACTTAAAGTGTACGTTTTACTTTTCTTTCTAAAAAGTAATTTATTAACTTTTTATTATTTTTTTAACATATTCCACCCTTTATTCTCGTGTATAACGCGCAGGACATATATCGAAATACAAGCATATCGTGTAAAATTTCCAATAAATCAAACGATTAAATTTTATAAAAAAAACCTTAAATATGTATTTTTAGATAAAATTTAATTTATTTTGGAAAAAACTTAATTCACGCATACAAAAACATTTAAAAAAAATCAGGTATAAAGTTTAATATTTTAAGAAATATCCTGTATAAGTTTAAAGGAAACACCCTATTTTATATGATAATTAATAATGTACTTATATATATAATTTTTTGGAAATTCTGTATATTATTTATAGAAATGTC